GTGAGGAGAATCTTAAAATCGATCTCCTCTGCTCAACTGGGAGCCGGGAAACGTTTCTATCCCCCTAATTAGACGCGCTGCAGTATATTGCTTGTACTCGAAATGCGCTTGTGTGTGAGATGAGTGACAATGGAAAATAAATGAACATATTTTATTTACACAAGATTATGATTTACAATAACAACAGGCGAATATTCACTGAGGTGCGTCTAAAGATCGCTCTGAGTGGTCTCATAATTATCCAATTATAGTTTCAGGTTGCCTTATTGAATACAAACACATAGACGATCAGCAACATTCAAAAATAAGTTGCACCTCCACCTAGATTTAAATCCTTTTTAGCTATTTTATCGGTAAACTATTCTCTTGCTTCTTTCATCGTGATAAGCGATCCTTATATCAAATTCCCCTTCAAAAAATTTTAATCCAGATCAAAGTTACTTCGACTACGTTAATTACAAACAAGGCAAAACTCTCACCACTCGTGCCTTTACAGCGCGAAATATTTCACAAAAAGTTCTTCGAAATTCCCCGTTGAAACCCGCGTAAACAAAAACATTGATAGTTGCATTGGTGTAAATCATACAAACAGCTATTTTAGCGACGAGCGGTGGGGCATTTGACACTCCAAACGCGCTCATGAGATCGATTATCGTGATAGGGAGGACCAGAATGACAAACAAACCAACTAAGGTTATTACCATCCGTACAATTCGCCTCTGTTTTAAAGCAAATGTTTTGTTTTGCTCTTGAACATTCGACGGTTGATCACTGCCACCAAAGTTCGAGGCAATTGCAGTCTGTGAATATGCATTTGCCGTACTCTCTAGCTGCATATGTTGTATGTGTATCACCCTCATCTGTCGGTGACTTACCTTGAGCAGAAAGCAGTTGATTGGTGTGACCAAAACCAATGGCAGCAGACAAAAGCCGATGAGAAAAACAAGGAGATACGCTGTTGATAAGTTTGTGGAAAAGAAGCACAATCCCTGATTCTGACGTAGCAATTCAGCCGGGGCCAAGCCCACGCCGAGAACGGGTAAAATAGCAAATAATGTCATGATTATCCATCCACTTGTAATAAAAATGGCCACAGTTACTGGAGTCATGCGCGCATTGTACGCGAAAGGAAATTTCACCGCTATCAATCTATCGATGCTAATAAAGATAATGTTTATTCTGGACAAACCGTCGAAAAGAATAGTCACTGCTATCACTACACTGCAAGGAACTGATCCTGGTTGAAAACCTTCCACGAGACGCAAAGGCACGGCCAAAGAAACGATCAGCAAGTCGCACACTGCTAAATCAAGGATGAAATAATTGGGAATATTCCTCAGCCTTCGTTTGTAAAGGATTGCTAGTATGACCAGTGCATTTCCCGCGGTTCCAACTACAGAAACTAGAACCATAAAGGCCGTAGTGAGAGCAGTTTCTACAGACATCGGTGTACAGCCGTCCCTTGAAATTCTCCTGCAAAGTTTGCAGTGATCTGGCCTCAGAACAGCTATACTCTCCACTAACGATGACTCCGTTGGAAAGTTAATAGTCCATTCGTAGTTTTTTCAGAAAACCGTTCGGTCACGGTCGGGTTAATAAAGATTTCCGGCTGTGACGCAGTAAGATCTCTTCGAAATTTATGAACCCCACAAAGTTTCTTTCTCAAGGAAGGGCGGATGTTTTCTTTTTAAAGCGGCGTCGTTAGGGTATAATTTCCTGCAAATCAATAAAACGCAGGCAGGAGCATGTTCGTGAAAAGATGAATATAAATAGTTTGGGAATCACACGGCGCCTACAATCAAATTTATCATATCGTCAGAAATTCTGATGACAATGACTTTCCATCTTATTGATTACTTGAAAAAAAACAAACAAAAAAACAAAAAAAAACAATATCCTGGAATAAATGCACTCTATGGCATTAAATATTGCAGCAATCCTGTATATTGCAATCAATCTTAATTTCCGGGTTTACATTTAACTTCAGTTTCGGAAAATGACTCATTTTTACATAAATATATTTAAGAAATCGCCCTTTTCCTGTGTGTACGATAACCTCGTGGCATTTGAAAGTAATTTTCTCTTGGTTCAAGTTCGCATTATAATTTCTATCATAATCGATAGAGGATCCCGTAAAAACAGCTCAAATTTGTGCATTGAAACAGAAATCGTTTGAACAAAGCCGAGCAAACACTTCTTCACGAACAGGTGAAATCTAGAATAAGGGATTTTAATTGCTCGTCTCAAAATCGATTCGGAATACAATCAAGCTAAACTTAATCTCTTAAGTGTACAAAAGAACATAAGTTGCCGCTCATATATATCAATTTAGAAAGGGATGAAGATGATTCAATTATATGGAAAGGCCGCACGTTTTAAGGATTAAAAGCGACATATTTAGTTAATGGCTTGAATTACAGAAACCTATTCAGCTTAAATACACTTTGGCTTCGTCTGGTTTTGTTAATTTAGGTCTTGATCCTCGGGAAGTATCTTGTGATTAAGGTTCATAGCTTCTTTAATTAAAGCCACCCCGCGATATATATATTCGCAGCTATATAACTATGAGTATTACACATGTACAGATCATGATGCCCAGACTAAAAACCGAGTATTTTGACGGAACCTTTAATTAAAAAATTGCATTTTACCATTTTAAGAGGAATTAAATCATTTGTGTTGTTGTTTTCGTAATATCCGTAACTGCAAAAAAAAAAAAAAAAAAAAGACTGCTGCTATAACAAGTATAGCCAGAAGTTCAATAACGTAATTCGTATAACTAGAATAAACCGTAAGCCACACATGTCAATCATCATCCACTGGGAAATCGACGGGTTTGCTCATAGAGCACTTTGATTACAAAGTTTATAGAACGTACAGAGGGTGCTCGGAGCCACCTTTAAGTTCGAAAATTTAAGGTGACTCTAGGTTGCTTTGTAGTAAAGAAGTGTAAAGAACTGGGTATCATAAATGGCAGATTTTCATACACTGCAATTACTTAATGACAGAAAATCTTGAACTTGATGGACAAACTGGAGAAATTCAGGCAGTTTGGAAACTATCGTTTCTGGTTCCCAGTCTTCACCACTGAGCGCACGGTACCACTCTTCACAGCTTAGATGGAGATCGGTCTGAAAGCAAACGAATTAAGACATGGTGTTAAGGCTTAAACTTGTGTTTGTCATTGATTTTCCTTTACCGACAGAATGAGAAGAGGGACTTCAAATCAGCTGGTGCCCATGACATAGAGAAAAGAAGCAGGGAAGAGTATGGCGTTCGGGAGAGGACAAATTAAAGGCGGAAAGGAGATTTTCTGAACGAGGGGGATTATGGTACGGGAAGCGGGGAAAAATAGTACGGAAAGCGGAAATATCTGACTCCCCTACCTACACCGTCCTCTCCGGTCCCCTGTTGAAAATATATGTAGCAAGCCAACTCTAAATACCCGTTTCTTTTAGCAGGAGCTCCTTTACAGTTTTGTAACACCATCTGGGGTAGCCAGCTTAGTCTAAAATGGAAGCCGCCCTCAGCGTAACCCCTGGGGATTAGGCTCGAGACTACTGACACAGCTTCATCTAGGGTGAGGGGTAACTTGTTCGAAATTTGAAATCTTGAAGGAGGGTAGGGCCTCAAAAGAGATGTAAATTAGAAAAGCCTGTGCGAAAAAAAAATTACTTTGGACTGCCGGCCTAGAGCTGTTTGGGGACGGTTGCAATAATTTAGTTCCGCAAACTTGCTTATCGTTACAGTTAACGAATGTAACATCATAAAATTCCGAAAGTAACGAACTCTACCCCGCCCTCCCGAAAGTTAGGTTGTTAGCAAACCCCGAGGAAAGCGACCATCCGAAAGTAGCGAACGGACTTGTGAGAAACAATGGAAATGACACAAACAACAAGCTAGGTGAACAAAAATATTGAGATATTTCAGATGACCCTAGTCTTACTACTCTTTTGAACAAGATTTATTCCTTTCTCTGCTTATTGAGAACATTTCTATTCCATTATGATCGGTCCACGTGTGGTACACGTTATGGTCAACCGAAAGTTGGGACCCCCCAAAAGTGGCGATGGGAACGGATGTTAAATCCGAAAGGAACAAGGGTTTTATTTCCGAAGCTTTTACGTTACCATATAAAGGAATAACGAATACTCTCTCACTGTTTCTCTGTTCTGCTCTCCTCTGTCGTCACGGCACCAAATGCTCTCTTCAGAAACAATCAAAGTAAACCCGTCACGTGGTACACACATCGTTCGACGCGAGCAGCGCTGGTAATTGAACAGAAAACCTTCTGGCAGGGTTTCGTCCGGAAGGTGGATTCCATTAGCCTCTGTAAATGTTAGCTTGGACAGATAACCAGCTAAGACCTTGGTTTGCTCCTGTTCATACTTGCTACTATGAGTTGCATAAGCTGTTAAAAAGAGAATAATTGTCTTGGGACGGACACACCGATGAACAAAAAAGACGACTTAAAAAAGAGTCAACCTTGTCGCTTCTACGACGACTTATTAAACGTCCCTCTAGGGGAACTTGGGAACGCAACATGCGGTATCATACATTGAGAATATGAGAATGTAGAAAGAAAATTGAGAATAAAGACGCAATTTCAGGGCGCGCGTTTTCTCGTCTTTCGCGGGACCTTTTTTTTTCGCGGATAGTGGAAAAAAACGCAAAAATCGCAAAAATTAAATTGGAACCCGCAAACATTTCTTGCCACACGGTATTGCCTGGTAAAAATATTTTTAAAATGCTCAAAAACTCACTTGATAATGGTCTTATCATGATTCTACAGTCGACCACGCAACCTGGACATATTATGTCTGCCTGAAGATATTTGGGAGATGAAAGAACCAACCATGCCCGACATCGTGATCTCGTCCACTCGTCTTCAAGATGAAGCTCCTCTACAATATTTCTAACGTCACTATATGGGATTGGAAGTTCCTGCAGCTTGCTCTGTACACCTTTTTTAGCGACCCACACCTGTGAAGAGAGCAAGAATTTTGTGTTTATATTCGCAGACTTTCACACAAGCTTTGTCTCTCAGCATCTCTTAGTGGGCCATTGACTTGAAAGCAATTTTTTCAGACTCATTAATAATTCATTAAGTTTAAGCAAAGGAAACCAATGGAAAGACCGTGACTGTGTTTGGATATCTGATCTAAATTAGCATACATTTTTACCATTTTCTTCTTAGTTTTAGTTTCGATTGAGAAGATTTATCAAACACTCAAGACAGGGTTTGATCACATTTCCAAACACCTTGAAGTTCGTCAAAAATACTCCCTGCGTGTCGTATTTTCAACTCTCTTCTCGGTGTTTGGAAATGTAGTCAACCACGGTCTTTCGTGTTTGAAATATCACTGAAAAGGCCTTGTTCAATAATTCTGCATCGTGTCGCCTTTGCGACACTTCAGTTAAGTTCCACTGAAGATGGATGCTATCTCATTTAATAGTCTCAGTAGTCTCGCAGTATATCAAGGAAATGAATCACGGAAAAAAGCATTTAGTCATGGGAAAGTGAGCCATGTTACGTGCTACGCCATTTTGGAAGCTATGAAGTCGGGTAGAACCGTTTCCATATTATCATCAAATAGCTAAAAAATTGCGCTCTGAACATTTTTCAGTTCTCTCTTAAGCGGTAGCACCACTGACAGCAGTCGAGTAACGATAGCAACAGTAATATTGGAAGGGGGTGGGGAATTAGAACGAACAGTTAGTATCTACCTTTCAATCGTCCTCCCTTCCACGCCTACCTTTCAGGATAAAACGCATCAAACAAAGAGTTCTGGCATATTGCACTATCCAACATCGCATTCGGGTCGAAAGGTGGCGGGAGAGGATGGGGTAGGGGGTGTTCCAACAACTTATAACAGTGATTGTATGGTAATGTTGCACTACTTCTAACGTTATTTTGTGTTAGGTATGTAGCCTACCTTGCATCTCATTGATCTACCTCGAGGGGTTAAAAAGCACAAATCATATCTTGCCGCGTATAAATCATCTTCATCTGGCTGTGTACCAAACGTCTCCTGTAAAACCTTTTTGTCAATTTGAACGCCTTCCTTGAAAGCAATTCGCCAATCGCTTTTCTTGCCCGATGCAGAGTTTTGTAGCTTGGCAACCGCCTCTGTAATGTTCCATATTTCGGCAACATCCGCTGTTAAAAATTTAAGGAGGACTTACTAAAACTGCACTGAACACGTTAATTTAGAGACAACATAACAATGCTTGTTGAATACTAATACCAGGTATAAATAATTCTTACATGACACAGGGTTGATAATTTCTTCCCGTGCAATCCGTAATGATACCTTGATGGGTTAAAACGTTCGTTCCCGAGTAGCTTTAGGGATACCAAAGTCCATAATTTATTAGATCGTTTATTAATCGTCCCTTTTTTAGGGTTGGCCCCAAAAAGAGACAACTGGCATCCTTGTCCCTTACACAAGGTCATGCTTTTGTTAGTTCTACCTTACATTTACTTGGCTTGGGTAAGTCTCTCGCACCCCGCCCCACCCTTCCCAACTGGCATGGGCGACCGCCCTCTTACTCCAAGTGAGGAATCTTCTTTGATCTTCAACTTTAAGTTCATGCGCACTCATCGAATTTAACTCTGTTAAAATTCAGTCAGTAAAATTGACCAGTTCTCACTTTTTTTAGCTGATGCATGCAGATGCTATCTTTATTCGCGTACAACCAGCTGGTTTGCCCCCTCACTGATGAAAGTCAAGGGGAGCTAAAACAGACTGTTGTCGATTTTATCATCCCTTGCAACACTCCTCGTCCTTCGTTTCCTTTGTCATGATTTAATATATTTCTCACCTTCATCGGGTTCGCGGATGATAGCTGTACCAAAGTGACACCACATGTCAGCTTCCTGAAATTTCTTTGACTCAATTTCGTGCTTAATCTTACGTAGACATGCCAGTACATGGCCCACGAGGTTAGCTTGATAAGAAGGAATGTCGCTTTGAATCCCGGCTGCCTAGAAAGATAGAAATTCACGAATAAGAGATAGGAAATTAATCAAGAATACCCGTGGAAATCGGTTTTATTTTACAATTCAAATGCTTCATTTGGCCACAACCTCGGGTGCATCCGAACATTTAGTTTAAAAATCCCTGAATTTAACAAACCAGTTCGTATTCCTCAGAAGGTCTCAGCCGATACTGGGAGCGTGATCCTGGTAACACCATGCGCTCCAACTCTTCAACAGGCACAAGCGTAAGATCACACCCTTCTGGCAGATTCCTATCGTCAATGTAACAACAAATGATGTCCGTTTTAACTCTCGCTGAAGCCTGTAAATAAATAAATAAATAAATAAATAGATAAAAAAACGACAAAACTTGGCATAACTTAAGACAGCTTATATACCGTACGATGGACTAACACCCCATCCAGTTAACAGAAATACTCCAGCTAGTCACTTTATGTTACGGGAACGCGATATGCTCCGAACACTCTGGCCTGACGCTATTAGACCGGCAATCAGTTCAATGACCACTGGCACTGTGTGTAATGTCACTTAATAGGAAAAGGATATATACTAACTGACTGAAAAGAATCTCCCCCCACTCGCACACCGTGTTTAGTTCAACCGTGACGGAATTTATTAAACAGCGGCAAAGCAAGATAAAGTATCCCAACAAATGTTACGGATAATTTATTGCCCTTAAGATGGAGACCGATCACACGCATAAGAGAGTCCACGAGAGTTGACGGTGAAACCTTTTTCGACGAGATTTTTCTTATGAAAGTTTCAGGCTGCATGGCAAGTGAAATTAAATTCGCTAAATTAGACCGCGCGGAGCTCCCCTTTTGTTCTTAATCCATCGAGTGAAGCAAAAAAAGGCGCGAGAGCTAGGAAAATCTGGGATCGTCTTTCTATAGTCTATTTGCTCCTTCGCCGCGCGAATTTGTGGTCCAAAAACAGAAAAAAGTGCACATGCACGGGATTGGACAGGACTGCAATGACAGTTAGACTTTGAACTTTTTTCCACTCTCCCGTCGACTCTCGCTCTCCAATTAAAACGTTTTCTAACCGTAGCTTCACCTGTGTAGATAAAGGCAACAACATTTTACAAGTAGTAAAGAGGCTGATTGCATACCACTTTGCGTTTCAAAAGTAGTTCAGCGTGTTTTACTCCTATCTCTGATCCTCTCAGCTCGTAGCGCTTATTTCCTCGAGGAAACACTTGTGCCCCAGTCAACGTGCTGATATTTCGAAGATTATCTCCTCCCTTGCCAGTCACGTGCCTCTTGAATTCACTTGGAATTTCAACAAGTTGACCAGGAAATCTCTTCCCCCTGGTTTTCATTTGTCTCTCAGCCTTAGAGAAATTGGCGCAAATAAATCATTCAGAAAACGTTCTCATCACAGATATATACAGTTGCTTATGTTATACCATATTTTATGATTTTTTCCGTTCACGAGACTCCAAAATGAGGACGGTAACTCTGAGCCAGTTGGTTTTAAGGGTTTTCTGTGCCATTTGTTGCTAAGCAGTGAGATGTCTCAGTGGTAAAAAGCTGACGTTATGAATTTCTTATTGTTCAGTAGGCCAATGGTCCTTTAGAACAAAATCGATGCCAGAAATGAGAACATTTTAATGAAAGAGTGATTTTTTATGGCGGTTTTAGAGGTTTTGAAAAATAATAAAGCTTTGTGGGAAAAAGTTGTTCAGTTCTGTCCAGCTTACAGATCCCTTGAAATAGTCAAACTTTCAAACCACCGTAATAAGCTATTTCCGTGTTGCTTTTTGGCTCTTTTTCAAAACGAGTCCTAATGCGTATTGGCAATTTGTTTGACGAGGTCTCTCCACCCTAACGTTTCAGTTAGGTACAACCTGGGGTTCGTACCCAGAATCTTCATTCCCCTTGACCAGCGGTTGGCAAACGAGCGACCTTAGAAAGTTCCGCTTGGAAGGATTTGGATGTCCAAAAATATTGGACTTCCGCCATTTTCATCGTTTTAAAACCAGTCACAATGGAGCCGGTAACGGAACTCACAAGAGTCACTCGTTTAGTCAAACTTGAGCAGTAAGTAACGAATCGAAGACTCGAGGAACGAGATTGGCACTCACCCAATCTCGTTCCCAGAGTCTTCGTTCCCCTTGACCAGCGGTCGGAAAACGAGAGCCCTAGGAGCAACCATTTCAGGCATGCGCCATAGATGCAGACTGCGCAGTGAAACCGGATGGGCAGAATCACCAGTATTCGGTTATTTCAAAATGGTTGCTCCCAGAGCTCTCGTTTTCCCACCGCTGGTCAAGGGGAACGAAGACNTATACTGATCAGTGACAATGATGGCCATGATTCGAATTCGAAATTTACCTCTTTTTCCTTCCATGTGATCTCCTGTTAACCTGGCCACGATCCTCCATACCCGTGAGGTATTTTGCTCAATACTTAGAAAGAGGAAGGATGAAATTATATAAACCAAGTTTTTAAATTTCAAATGTCAGCATATCAGCTCTTCTGGCCGGAAGTACTTCCCTGTAAACTTTTGTTACCAGTTTTCGCGCTCCCACTGATATCCGTGCCGACATCAGCCGAGCGGAGCCAGAGACTACCGACAATTAGGGGAGTCCGACGGGAAATGCAGGGGTTAGAGCCGGTGCAGAAAAGCAAAATGGCGTGGCAACCAGACCAAGATGGTTTACAGCAAATTATACAGCTTTTAAAGGAAAGTCAGAGCCCAAATACTGAAGTACAACGAGCAGTTCAACAAGTATCCTTTACTCTACCAGTTTCAATGCTAAAATCTGTATTTCTAGTGGAGTTTGAAGAAATATTTGTCGTTATACCGTTGAGATTTGGCGCGTCACACGTGCTTTCTGATTGTGGTAAACGTATTAGATTTTCATTGCATTCCTTAACAAATCACTTTTTCAGAAACTTGAATCTTTAAATCAGTTTCCTGATTTCAACAATTACCTGATATTCGTCCTTACGAAGTTGAAGAGCGAAGGTAAGCGCGCTGTTGACTATATCAGGTACATGTAGCTGTGTCCTTCTTAGTTCCGGTTCCTCGATCGATGGCGCTTAACTTACCAGCCCACCACAATAAATCAGTTCAAGTCTGTTAAAACTATGGTCTAACATTGATTTATTCTATTTCAGATGAACCGACTCGTTCACTGTCTGGCTTGATTCTCAAGAATAACGTCAAATCACATTACCACACTTTTCCTGATCAAGTGAAAGAATTTATAAAATCAGAATGTCTCGAAGCCATTGGAGATCCGTCACCCCTTATTCGAGCTACAATTGGTATCTTGGTCACCACTATAGCGGCAAAGGGCGATCTTACGAACTGGCCTCAGCTTTTACCAACATTGTGTCAGCTTTTGGACAGTGAAGATTACAATGTCTGTGAGGTACATGTAAAGCGCTGTTCTTTCTAGGCTGGCATCTTTCCAGTTTCCTAAACGTTTATAAATGCATAAGCTTTTATTTTTCAAGCAGCTCCTAAACATGACGTCTGTAGCAATATGTTAATTATAATTTTAGCAACGGACGATTTGATGAATGGTGAAGACTCCTCTAACACTTACTAATTTTACAATACGTAACACGAAATTCATGCCAAAAGTAATAAGCTTAGTTCAAGTGTTATTCGACGATAAATGTATAAGTTTAGTGTGCATAATTTGTTTGACAGAGACTGCTGAGTAAATATTAAAAGTTATTTGCACTTGTAGTTTGATCTTCAGCAATAGTTGCTCTGTCTAAATGAACATGTTATAAATTTATATTCTAGGGTTAGTTCATTGTTGCTCTCTCGTAAGTCTCCAAAACATGAATGATAAACTTGGTGGACCTTGGGAACCTATTAAAATAATGGTTACATGTACATGTGAGAATTCAGTGTCTATTAGGGTAGGGTGTTCAGTGGAAAAAGGTTTTGCCTAAAACAGAAAACACCTTCAAATAGGGTCAAGTATTTATTTAAGGCAAGGGATGGGAGCAGACTTGACAGGAGTGGGGTTCCAAATTCGGACCACAAACTAAATGCCAAGGCAACACTTTCATATCTGCAATAATGCACAGTCCCTTGCAATACACTAAGTATCAGTTTTACACTTCTTTTTGTCAGATGCATGGATTAGAGTTTTGTGATAATTCTATTATTGAATCTGGAATCAATACAATGGGCTGTAGTTATGATAACAATTCTAATCCAGAAGGCTTCTAGCGTTCAAGTATTTTGTTTCAGGCCAGGCAACTTCTACATAGATAAGCTACAGAAGTTGCTATTTTGCAAACTGCCATGGTACTTACACCCACATGTAGCAGTTGAAAACACTGATGTTCTCATAACCTGTGTTTGTAGGGAGCTTTTGGTGCGCTGCAGAAGATTTGTGAAGATTCTGCTGAACAGCTTGATAGTGATGCTCTCAACAGACCCCTCATCATACTAATCCCAAAGTTCCTGCAGTTCTTCAGACATGCAAGCCCTAAAATAAGGCGAGTACATGTACAGCTATTTTTAGATTATGGGAAATCAGAAATTTTTATGGGAATGGGTTTATTACCACTAAAACTGAATGAGTGAAATATTTATTTTGGAGCAGCTATACAGTGCAGGGCCACTTTTGAAGGTGTATACAGATATGTATTTAGTGGCTCATTTGGCTCGTTTGGCTTGGCAGTGGATAAAAGAATGAGAAATAATCTAAACATGTGTTAAGTCCTAGGTCTATATATTTAGTGGCTCGTTTGGCTCAACAGTGGATGACAGGAGCAAATGAGCGGGATCATGTGATGGATGGTTAGTTTAGCCTTTATTTTGATTGCCTTCTTAGCTTGGTGATGGTGGTTTTTATCTAAATTTTTTGCAGATCTCATGCTATTGCCTGCGTGAACCAATTTATTGTAACACGAACGCAGGCCCTCATGGTTCACATAGGAACCTTTATTGAGGTAGGGACATTTGTTTTGTTTTTCTTTGAATTCAATACAGCTTGACATCTACACTCGGCAACAACATGAAAGCCAGTGACTATGCATCATTTTTGGAAAGTTTTATATTGTACAATCTACTCTGTAGCATTAGACAGATTATTTTACAAAAATTTATTGAAGGTTTCCTGTTTAGGCATCTGGGAAGAATTCAAGGTTTACTCATCCTTTAAATGTTGTTTGCATGTAAATACACTTGGAAGCACCATTCAACTGTTTTCAATTTGTTATACTACCATGTTATGAGTGGAAAGTGCAATTACTGGTTTCTTTTATTCACTGTTGCTTTTTTCCCTAATACGAAAAACACCTTTATCATAGAATCTTTTTGCCCTTGCTGGGGATGAGGACCCAGAAGTGAGGAAAAATGTTTGCAGAGCTCTTGTCATGCTCCTGGAGGTCAGAGCAGATCAACTAATTCCACACATGAATAATATTGTGGAGGTAAGTATGATGTAAAATACAAAGTTGATGTCTTGCAAACTAATTTTCACAAGGGAGATCAATATACAAGGCCAGGTCCACAGATATTGAGAGTAAAGAATATTAGGGGACTTCAATTTTGAGTACTAGTACGAGATCAAGCATGAGAACTTTGCGATTATAGTTTGCAGGCTTCACATTATCACGTCACATTCCCATCTCATCCCATGAATTACCCTCTCTACCTGGTTTGAAATTCAAAAATCGTATTCATACTCAATCTCATACTTGTAGACCAATCTAAAGTTCCTTATTGTCAATTCGGGAAAACCATCTTCAGTTTGATGCACTGCCAAATCCTCTGGACTAATTTTCATACACTGTAGAGCTTTCTGATATTGAATAAGGACAATTTACTTTTCAAGTGATGTCTTGTAACAGGATAAAAATAAGGGAAAGATGACTCTTTACCCCTTCAACCACATATTTAAACTGTGTTCTCCTTTCTAGTACATGCTGATGAGGACACAAGACAAAGATGAGAATGTATCACTTGAAGCTTGTGAGTTCTGGTTAACCCTGGCAGAGCAGCCCATCTGTAAAGAGGCTCTCAATCCCCACCTGCACAGGTGACAAGAATTTATACTTATTTACTCATTGATTCCATGAATCAACGGAAATATGACCAAGCATGTACTTTACCTGGTCAAGTGTGGTGAAACTTTTATAAGAAAATTAATTGACCTACTGTATTTTTCAACTGCAGGCTCATTCCCATATTGGTGAATGGAATGAGGTACTCGGAGATAGATCTGATTCTTCTAAAGGTAGCTTGTGTTTTGTAACTTGTTTCCTTGATTATTTACTTGATTGTTTTGTTGGTAGATTGATTGATTTTTTTAGTCATAATGACTGACTGTCTGTCAGTGTCTGACTGACTGTCTGACTGACGGATGGGCTGACTGACTGACTTTCTGACTGAGTGACTGATTGATTGACTGACTGACTGACTGACTGATTGATTGATTGATTGACTGACTGACTGACTGACTGACACTGGGATTTTGTTTCTTACACCAGGCTGACAATGAGGATGACGAGTCTGTTCCTGATAGTGAACAGGACATCAGACCAAGATTCCATAAATCCAAGACACACAGCCAGCAACATGAAGCTGATGGAGAAATTGATGTAAGATTTTGATCACATGATATCTTTTGCTAAACACCAATTCAGTTGTCTGAAATGTAACCCTGATAGATTATATTCAAAACCTCAGCCTTATCCTAACATCAAACAAAAAAAGACTGTGTTTGACCACATTTCCAAACACTGAGAAGAGAGTTGAAAATAAAGCATGTAGTGGAGTATTTTTGATGAACTTCAAGGTGTTTGGTAGTGTGGTCAAACGTTTTCTTGAGTGTTTGGTATATCTTCTCAATCAAAACTAAATATGAGGAGAAAACAGAGAAATAAAATCTTAAAAATCTATGCTAATTAAGATCAGATATCCAAACACTGTCACAGTTATGATATGTGATGAATTATTGATTTTGAGAAATGACTATGAAGTGAAACCTACATGTAGCTAAGTCTTGTGTCAGAAGATTTTAACAAGAGATTCTCACATTCACCACAGAAATCTGTTTAGCACTTTTTACTGGTGGCTTGTCCCATTTAGCAAATTTGGATCCATACAGCACACTGCTCATCCTCATTATGAAATTTGCATGCTCAAATAATCGAGGAGACACTTATCTCTGACATTTTGGAACGAACACTGCAGGTAGAGGTCTAGAAGTGATCACAGTAGACTGTTTAGAAAATAATTTAAAGAAACATAATTTAAGGACTAACTGATGAAATATGAAAATTAATTCAAGTGTTATAAGGAAAAGTTAAAAATATTGTTCATTGTTTTTGTCACTTCCATTGTTTCACACCAACTGATGCTGAATTTTTTAGGGAGAAAGTGACGGAGAAGATGATGATGACATGGATGATGATGCCCTTTCAGACTGGAACTTGAGTGAGTTGTTTGTTGTCAAAGAATTTAATAAATAATAATTCAAATAATAATTGTAATTCTTAAACTATATTTTCATCTCTTATCCTTCAGGGAAATGCTCTGCAGCTGCCTTGGATGTGCTTGCTAGTGTGTTCCGTGATGATCTGTTACCAGTGTTGCTTCCAATCTTGAAGGAGACATTGTTTCATCCTGACTGGGAAGCCAAAGAGTCTGGCATCCTTGTACTTGGTGCCATAGCTGAAGGTAAAAATATTGTGTGGTTTGCACTAGCTGTAGAGTTAAACACAGAAGAAGTATAACCATTGAGTGGATACTTAACTGAGGTTGACTTTCACACCAATTTTGCTAATGCTTACATCAAGTTACATTATCGTAAAAAATAGAAGTGTAGCACATATCTGTTCTTTTGTACATTTACCTCATGTATATTGATAGTGAAACCAGAACTTGCAGTTACTACTTCTTACTTTCATATATGTNATCAGAAATTTTTATGGGAATGGGTTTATTACCACTAAAACTGAATGAGTGAAATATTTATTTTGGAGCAGCTATACAGTGCAGGGCCACTTTTGAAGGTGTATACAGATATGTATTTAGTGGCTCATTTGGCTCGTTTGGCTTGGCAGTGGATAAAAGAATGAGAAATAATCTAAACATGTGTTAAGTCCTAGGTCTATATATTTAGTGGCTCGTTTGGCTCAACAGTGGATGACAGGAGCAAATGAGCGGGATCATGTGATGGATGGTTAGTTTAGCCTTTATTTTGATTGCCTTCTTAGCTTGGTGATGGTGGTTTTTATCTAAATTTTTTGCAGATCTCATGCTATTGCCTGCGTGAACCAATTTATTGTAACACGAACGCAGGCCCTCATGGTTCACATAGGAACCTTTATTGAGGTAGGGACATTTGTTTTGTTTTTCTTTGAATTCAATACAGCTTGACATCTACACTCGGCAACAACATGAAAGCCAGTGACTATGCATCATTTTTGGAAAGTTTTATATTGTACAATCTACTCTGTAGCATTAGACAGATTATTTTACAAAAATTTATTGAAGGTTTCCTGTTTAGGCATCTGGGAAGAATTCAAGGTTTACTCATCCTTTAAATGTTGTTTGCATGTAAATACACTTGGAAGCACCATTCAACTGTTTTCAATTTGTTATACTACCATGTTATGAGTGGAAAGTGCAATTACTGGTTTCTTTTATTCACTGTTGCTTTTTTCCCTAATACGAAAAACACCTTTATCATAGAATCTTTTTGCCCTTGCTGGGGATGAGGACCCAGAAGTGAGGAAAAATGTTTGCAGAGCTCTTGTCATGCTCCTGGAGGTCAGAGCAGATCAACTAATTCCACACATGAATAATATTGTGGAGGTAAGTATGATGTAAAATACAAAGTTGATGTCTTGCAAACTAATTTTCACAAGGGAGATCAATATACAAGGCCAGGTCCACAGATATTGAGAGTAAAGAATATTAGGGGACTTCAATTTTGAGTACTAGTACGAGATCAAGCATGAGAACTTTGCGATTATAGTTTGCAGGCTTCACATTATCACGTCACATTCCCATCTCATCCCATGAATTACCCTCTCTACCTGGTTTGAAATTCAAAAATCGTATTCATACTCAATCTCATACTTGTAGACCAATCTAAAGTTCCTTATTGTCAATTCGGGAAAACCATCTTCAGTTTGATGCACTGCCAAATCCTCTGGACTAATTTTCATACACTGTAGAGCTTTCTGATATTGAATAAGGACAATTTACTTTTCAAGTGATGTCTTGTAACAGGATAAAAATAAGGGAAAGATGACTCTTTACCCCTTCAACCACATATTTAAACTGTGTTCTCCTTTCTAGTACATGCTGATGAGGACACAAGACAAAGATGAGAATGTATCACTTGAAGCTTGTGAGTTCTGGTTAACCCTGGCAGAGCAGCCCATCTGTAAAGAGGCTCTCAATCCCCACCTGCACAGGTGACAAGAATTTATACTTATTTACTCATTGATTCCATGAATCAACGGAAATATGACCAAGCATGTACTTTACCTGGTCAAGTGTGGTGAAACTTTTATAAGAAAATTAATTGACCTACTGTATTTTTCAACTGCAGGCTCATTCCCATATTGGTGAATGGAATGAGGTACTCGGAGATAGATCTGATTCTTCTAAAGGTAGCTTGTGTTTTGTAACTTGTTTCCTTGATTATTTACTTGATTGTTTTGTTGGTAGATTGATTGATTTTTTTAGTCATAATGACTGACTGTCTGTCAGTGTCTGACTGACTGTCTGACTGACGGATGGGCTGACTGACTGACTTTCTGACTGACTGACTGATTGATTGACTGACTGACTGACTGACTGACTGATTGATTGATTGATTGATTGATTGATTGACTGACTGACTGACTGACTGACACTGGGATTTTGTTTCTTACACCAGGCTGACAATGAGGATGACGAGTCTGTTCCTGATAGTGAACAGGACATCAGACCAAGATTCCATAAATCCAAGACACACAGCCAGCAACATGAAGCTGATGGAGAAATTGATGTAAGATTTTGATCACATGATATCTTTTGCTAAACACCAATTCAGTTGTCTGAAATGTAACCCTGATAGATTATATTCAAAACCTCAGCCTTATCCTAACATCAAACAAAAAAAGACTGTGTTTGACCACATTTCCAAACACTGAGAAGAGAGTTGAAAATAAAGCATGTAGTGGAGTATTTTTGATGAACTTCAAGGTGTTTGGTAGTGTGGTCAAACGTTTTCTTGAGTGTTTGGTATATCTTCTCAATCAAAACTAAATATGAGGAGAAAACAGAGAAATAAAATCTTAAAAATCTATGCTAATTAAGATCAGATATCCAAACACTGTCACAGTTATGATATGTGATGAATTATTGATTTTGAGAAATGACTATGAAGTGAAACCTACATGTAGCTAAGTCTTGTGTCAGAAGATTTTAACAAGAGATTCTCACATTCACCACAGAAATCTGTTTAGCACTTTTTACTGGTGGCTTGTCCCATTTAGCAAATTTGGATCCATACAGCACACTGCTCATCCTCATTATGAAATTTGCATGCTCAAATAATCGAGGAGACACTTATCTCTGACATTTTGGAACGAACACTGCAGGTAGAGGTCTAGAAGTGATCACAGTAGACTGTTTAGAAAATAATTTAAAGAAACATAATTTAAGGACTAACTGATGAAATATGAAAATTAATTCAAGTGTTATAAGGAAAAGTTAAAAATATTGTTCATTGTTTTTGTCACTTCCATTGTTTCACACCAACTGATGCTGAATTTTTTAGGGAGAAAGTGACGGAGAAGATGATGATGACATGGATGATGATGCCCTTTCAGACTGGAACTTGAGTGAGTTGTTTGTTGTCAAAGAATTTAATAAATAATAATTCAAATAATAATTGTAATTCTTAAACTATATTTTCATCTCTTATCCTTCAGGGAAATGCTCTGCAGCTGCCTTGGATGTGCTTGCTAGTGTGTTCCGTGATGATCTGTTACCAGTGTTGCTTCCAATCTTGAAGGAGACATTGTTTCATCCTGACTGGGAAGCCAAAGAGTCTGGCATCCTTGTACTTGGTGCCATAGCTGAAGGTAAAAATATTGTGTGGTTTGCACTAGCTGTAGAGTTAAACACAGAAGAAGTATAACCATTGAGTGGATACTTAACTGAGGTTGACTTTCACACCAATTTTGCTAATGCTTACATCAAGTTACATTATCGTAAAAAATAGAAGTGTAGCACATATCTGTTCTTTTATACATTTACCTCATGTATATTGATAGTGAAACCAGAACTTGCAGTTACTACTTCTTACTTTCATATATGTTGTAGACTCCAGGCATTCCAAGCACTACGCTGTTAATGGTCAACATTTTTTACTTGGATGTGTGCATTTGTTGTTTAGGTTGTTTGAGTGGTATATCTCCTCACCTACCAGAACTGATTCCTTTCCTGATCAACTCTCTTTCTGAGAAAAGGGTGAGTTTTAACTGCTAGTGTAACTTGACCAATAGTCAAATAACAGCTTGGTTAGTGTCCTTGACTTGTTACTGTGTTTTTGCCCAGGCTTTGGTACGTTCTATCACTTGCTGGACCCTTAGTCGTTATGCGCACTGGGTCGTCAGTCAGCCACACGAGGCATATCTCCAACGTCTTATGACAGAGGTACATTTCTGTTGTTTTGTACAGTATTCCAAACTCTTTTGTTACTTTGATACTTTACGTGTTACATTCTTTACCTGTTCTGTTTGTTTTTACAACTTTTAGCTTCTTAAAAGGATTTTGGATAGTAACAAGAGAGTTCAAGAAGCAGCTTGCAGGTGACCAACAACTATTTTTTTCTTTCAGTTTAAGTATCTTGCTGGTGGTACCTTGATGATCTGCTAATTCTTAGACCTAACTTGAGAAAATGTAGCACAGCAAATGCTGCAACCAACCAACATTGCACTAATCAATGGACCTAAGTCTGAAGGATGGGCCCACTTCTATTGCTGTACTGTGTATAGAAACCAAAAAATAACCCTTTGGAAGAGCAATGTCCAATTTCAGCGAGGGATTAGTACTTGCCCTCTTCAAGAAGTGTCCCTCCCCTCCCCTCCTGCAGATGAGACTGCATGCATTGTTCTTTTTCTGGTCCATTAATTTGTTGTGTAAATTTGTTGTGTAGTGCCTTTGCCACTCTGGAAGAAGAAGCCTGCACTGAACTTGTTCCGTACCTGAGCTTTATTCTAGAAACGCTCGTGTTTGCCTTCAACAAATATCAGGTTGGTTAAAGCTTGGCTTCATTTAATAATACCTTATTTAAAAATACATTTATCTTTGTAGTATTTTATTGGGCTTTTCTCTTGGTTGCCCTTAATTGTTGTTTGTTTGTTCTTTTTTTCTGTTTTTTTTTTCCCTTCTCTCAAAATGTGATTGTCTACTATGTGCCAGTAAGGGTGCACTTGTGTGTAACAAGCAAGTAATATAGTGTAGAAAATGACATTGTGTTACATGTAGTAGCTCAGTAGTTTGTAATGACCTTGGTGCATTGTGATTCATGATTTAAAGATATGTTTGTTGTACTAAACACAATCATTTCTTTTTCTTCTATAGCACAAGAACCTTCTCATTCTGTACGATGCCATTGGTACACTTGCTGACTCTGTGGGACACCACCTAAACAAGCCTGAGTTCATTAACATGCTGATGCCACCACTTATTCAGAAATGGAACCAGCTGAAAGATGAGGACAAAGACCTCTTTCCACTCCTGGAATGTCTTTCATCAGTTGCCACAGCTCTGCGTTCTGGCTTTCTTCCATATGCCGAGCCTGTGTTCCAAAGATGTGTCTCACTGGTGGAGCAAACCCTAGCTCAGAGTGTGGTAGGTGCACATTGAAGGAACCTAGGGCTCAGTTCAGACATTATGCTTCTGCCGTGCTGAACTTAATTGCATTTAGGTTCGACTGTAGCATGGCAGAAACACGACTCTGATTCAGACGTCTTGCCAGAGTTGTACCAAATTCAGGGATGTTGCTGAAGCCTAGTAACAATAATAACTCCCTGCATGAACACAATCACCAAAAATACGTCAGTATAATAAATGAATTTTGTTTGGCGCTGCAGGAGCATGACATTTGAATTGCTGCCGTCAGAGTCGAACTTAATTTGAGTACTGAACTTAATTCAAAAGTTCGATTCAGACACAATGCTTCTGCCATGCCTTAGTCAAACTTTAAATTCTGCCTTAAATTTGGCTTGCAGAAGCATGGCATCTCAGTGAACTGGGCCTAAAATTTACCATCTCACACTATCATGCTGAGGGTTTTCTTTTTGTGCTTTCTTCAGGCATCTCAAACTCATCCCGAGCAGTTTGAACCTCCTGATAAGGACTTCATGATCGTGGCATTGGATCTTTTGAGTGGATTAGCTGAAGGACTTGAAGGGCAAATTGAGCAATTTGTTATTAGAAGCAACACAATGACTCTCCTCTACCAGTGTATGCAGGTAAACTTTCCACTCTACAAGCTCTGAGATTGTTATCATAGGAAAAAAAAAGACTGTATGCATTTGGTAATTTTTTTAAGATTGCCATGCATTGTTAAGAATCATAAGTTCTGTTAAAGGAGCTATGTCATGGTTTGCTCATCGTGAAAAGCTTTGCTTCAATTTTTTAAGTTTTTTGTTTGTAATCCATGTTAATCTTCTTCCTTAACCATCTTTGTTCCCTTGTGGTTTATTATTTCTTTGGTGTTCTTCTATTTTAGTAAACTACCATTTTCAGATTTCCTTTTTTTTTAAAGGGGATTTTGTAAGTGGCCAAAATACTGTGACTGAGCTCCTTTAAGTAACTAGTAACAGCTTTTCCATTTTACATGTACGTAGAAAGGTTAACTGGTCTACTTTGTTGGATTTTCAGGACAAAATGCCGGAAGTAAGACAAAGCTCGTTTGCCCTGCTGGGAGATTTGACTAAAGCCTGCTTCCAGCATGTCAAACCTTGCATTGGTAAGTGAAAACAACAGACATTTTGCTACAGAGATAGGACATTGCTTGTCTCACATGAAAAAGTAAATTACCATCTGTTAATACTTGTGTATGTTCAACTCAATGTCTTGCAGGGGATTTTTTACCAATCCTGGGTCAGAATCTCAATCCAGAATTCATTTCTGTTTGCAACAATGCTACTTGGGCCATTGGAGAAATCTCTGTACAGTTAGGTAAGGTATAATTCATATTGCATTGGATTTATCAGTGCCACTCTGCAAGTTGTTGTTGTTGTTTTTTTAATTGAACTTAAAATTTGACAATTTTTGCAATCAGTTGTGTTTGATTTCACCAAAGAAAGAGGGTGTGTAAGATACTTGTCATAGAAAATGTCAAAGTTAATGACACTATGCACATTAGTACTGCTAGAAACATACAGACCTTGAATTTCTTGCATTGACCTCTTTTATTGAATGTACATTGTATTTGAGTAAAATTATTTTGATTTTTTTTGTTGTCTAAAATTTAGGATCTGAAATGAAGCAGTATATCAACTTGGTGTTGCAACAGCTTATCACTATTATTAACAGACCTCACACTCCAAAGACGCTGCAAGAGAACACAGGTAAATGTCAACATTGAAACATGTACATTGTAGCTACTACATATAGCCATGAATGTGGAGGACATACCATTCTTACCTTGAAATTCTGATATGGCCAGCAGCATCTGCATTGTCAGCTTGAACCTGAAAGAAATCATAATTAAAGGCAAACTTTCAATCAGACCAAGAGAGAGAAAAAAAAACATTTAGAAGGAGATAAGCAGACGAGATTTCAAGGTAAACTATTGTTTGCAGTTCTTCTAGGAGAAATGCTCAGTTTGTAATGAAAAAGGAACAATTATACATGAGCCATAAACTGATGGTCATGTCAGTAAAGGCTTACCCTGCAGTTGCAAAATTAAGGAGATCACTCCTTTTGGAGGATTATTACTTTCATAGCTTGGTGGGTCCCTTCAGTTTATCAAGCCCAAAGTGACTACAGTTGGACCAAGCTGTCTAAAACTCTAGTTATAGTGAACTCAAATAATCTTCTGGTGGATACGCTTCTCCAGTCATTTACTATCGGCTCTCTTGAATCCTGACCTTCTTGAACTAAGAAACTGTACAAGTACCTTAAAAGCTCTAAAAGCAGCTACAGCAATGTGCCTTTACCTGTACCTTCTACAACAAATTGTTTGCGAAAAAAAGAAACCGCCCAGCTGTCATTTGCCTGTTTGTGAGTGCATTGCCGGACGTGTGGTGCGTAACTGTTTGAATTATTTTGTGTTTCCTCACCCCATCATTCTGTGGTCAGTTGTGTGACTAACCATAACACAAGTGACTGGATGATTTGTGGCTTACATGTATTATAAGGAAACTAACTTGTCTTTTGTTGTAGAATTGTTGTCTTGTAAACATCAAGTGCATCCACATTAAGCTGGCGTTGTGTTAACTGGAAGGGCAAACTGATCATCGTGCACAAGTCTGATGACATTACTTTTGCGATTTATCTTTCTTTGCTACATATATTGTCCACAGTGTACAAAAAAGATCCTGGGCCAGTTCAAATTTTTTCAAGTTCCTCCATTGAATGCATTTTACTCACTGTATGTTACTTTGCTCTGTTATCATGACACATGTAGCGTTCATTACTGTATGTTCATCCTTGATCTATGATAAGTCATGTTTTACATTTGTATAACGTTTTGGGCTGTTTTCTGCAAATTGCTTTATTGCTATTAACCTTTTCTGTCGTCATAGATTTTGAATATATGCATCACGTGATGTCATAGGTGCCATAAAACATAAATTCTAAACATGAAATGTTTAAATGGTTGTAAATAAACATCCTGTGCTTTGTAATCAGAAAAGGACACACTTTGTTAAGTATAGCAAGCATAAAAATTATAACTTGCACTTTTTCAGAAAGGCTTTTTCAAAAAATAATTATTATTTATTAAGGTACAGTATCTTGGAAACTATGATTGTGTGTCCACTTAAAGTTCTGTAGTCCATGTCAATCTTTTGCAATATTTGACATACATGTATTTGTTCCTCAGCGGTTTATTATCCCTTTGGGTGTTTTTCTTTGGAATAAATATACAATGTAGAAACTTAAAGGTATCCTTCAGTAGGAAGATAAATTAACTTATTTGGAATTATGAAACCCAACCTTCAAAGAGTAGTAATTTTTTATCACCTTGTGACAATTACGTGTACCGTGGGACACAGTGCAAGAATGGTCCTTTTGCCCTTTCCTCGCTGATGTAGCATTGTGTAATTACATGTACTACATTGTATGTCAAAAGTAATTACAGATAATGTTAACAGTCACAGACATGTTAATAAAGTTGGTGAGGCAGTGACTGTGTGCATGTTTGTGTACTATTCTATGTTCTGACTGCATGAATTTGTTTCTTTCCCTGTTAATTGTTGTGTTTTTAGCTATCACAATTGGGCGTCTGGGTTTAGTTTGTCCGCAAGAGGTGGCACCCCTGTTACCGCAGTTTATTCAGAAGTGGTGTGTATTAGTGTTTACTTTTTTTTACTTGTGTTGCTTTTATTGTTGGTGGTTTTTGTTTTGTGTTTTTTGAGTAAAATTTTGTCCATTGTTATAGTGCAACATTGCATAATAAATACATTGTGCTATCTAACTTGTTTACAATAATGCAACCCGCTTAACAATAACTATTCTACATTGTGTTTTTACATGGTTAATGGTTTGATCACAAGTTTTAATTGACTAAGTGTCTGGGAGATTATCTTGGTAAAGAATTGTTGATGACCAATAGTTTTGATGGGCCTAGTCTTCACTTTGTTCATAGTTAATAGAGGAGAATGGTTATGAAGCCCAACAAACATCAAAGGAGCAAACAAAGATGCCAAGATTTATGTTGGAAGGTCCATGACCGTTTACAATCTTTTGTTTTGCATTCATACACTATGCATGAATTACGAAACCAAAACGTTTCTATTGGATAGTTCCTCATTACGGAGTAAACAACTATTGTGTTTTGTGTACGGTCAAGACCAAAAAAGACAACAAAACTGTACAACAACAAAAATTGCCGGGCTTCAAAACCATTCCCGTCTATTAACGATGCTTTGTGTTACAACAACTGAAAGAAGAATGTTGTTATACCTTAGAAGTTTAGTCCACAATCCAACTCCTTTATGGATAGACTCCAAAGTATCTTCTGTTACAATGCTCTGACAGACAGTCACGCAACAAAACCGTGCAATCACGTGACCAAATGTCAACATCATTTTTTCTTAAGACTGCTCTCCTATCAATGATGGTCTATGTGAAGTTCCTAGTTAGACCCTTCTAAGGATAAAAAGGAGACGCACCTCATTTTCCATCCATCCATCAGGCAGTTTTATTTCAAGTCAAGAAAAATGCCAATTTGAAGAAAAGTCTGAAAATTGAAATTACAACAGTGTTGATTTAATTCCTTTGATGGCTGGAAGAAACATTTCAGTCTTAAATGAATGACTGTAAAGGGAATGGTTGAAGGCTGCTACTATTTTCTCGCATTTTAAATAAGGGAATTTTAAAAACTGATGTCTGTGGCAAACATTTGATGTATACAACTTATTAAATTCTTCACCTTTCAGGTGCACGTCATTGCGGAACATACGAGACAATGAGGAGAAGGACTCTGCCTTCCGAGGTATCTGTAACATGATTGGTCTCAACCCTGGTGGAGTTGTCCAGGTAAGGTGACGATTAAATACAAAATAATGAATGCGCTGCCCTGTTGTGTATAATATTATTTATTGTTACAGTAGTGACTAACGAAAGCTCTGTTGTAGGACTTCATATTCTTCTGTGATGCTGTAGCATCCTGGGTGAACCCTGGCCCAGACTTGAAGGAGATGTTCCTAAAGGTATGTTTGTATTGGAATCTTTTCATTTACTATCTAACATGCAGTGTAATCAACCATAACATTTCTTTGTCTTTGTCCTCACAACTTGGATTTAGATCCTTCATGGCTTTAAAAACCAGGTCGGAGAGGAAAACTGGAAGCGATTTTCAAGCCAGTTTCCTGCTGCCCTTCGAGAACGTCTGTCTACTAACTATGGGGTTTGAAGAAAAGCTTCAGTAGTCAGGGTAAAGAAATCTTAAATTCTTAAAAATAGTCAATAATTAATAGTCAGCATTTAAATTTATCAATAGTAATGTCAATGCATTGTTATTTACTTTGGGTATCATCAATGTGCATGTTCTTTTGAAGAAAATTACAGCATGCAGCTATGCATACAAAGCATATACTTGATACTTCCTAAATTGGTCATGTGGTTGCTAAACCTGAACTTTTCTTTGGTTCAGCTGTAATTAAATTTGAATCGAATACTGTAGTTCTTTCTGTTGAACCATTGCTAAACCTTAACTATGTTGTTCTTGTTCTCAGGTGGGGATAACAGATGGCTTTGTAGTCACTGTTCAGTTCAACAGTGTCCAAAGCCCATGTCAAGATCTTTTGTCTAAATCTCATTGTCCATGTTCCCGTACAAGTCTGTGTTTAGCTAATGGATGTTGCTATGAGGGGACAGCGCCATCATTAAGTGGCAGCCATCTCACCTGAATGTTCGTATGTTGATGGGAAGTGTTTGAACTTTGTGCCAAATTCAAATGATCAATACATTCGTGAAATAGTGGGATGTGTACTTGTTCGCTGTCGTTTGCGTCCTTGTTGTCAGTGGCCACCAGTTGTGATGTCAAGTGCTGCGATGTGGCAGTGTCATTGAAAAGCTGTTACAGTAATATTTTTGTCCGTATTTTAGAGCTGGCTGGAATCAAGTCAACCCTATTGGTGCAAATACATTCAATGCTCATCTGCTTTATGCAAGTATTTTCTGTTACTTTGCAAATTATAGTTTCACTAAATAGTGGAAAAGTAAGTTTAACTCTGCGTAACGTTATCGTAGTTGTTAATGATGCTATGTAAAATAATGTACATGGTGATGTAGAATGCAGGAAGCTTCCTTCACTCTCCCAACACTTTTTGTTTTTGCTTGTACTGCACATGGAAGTGATTATTCTTTTCTGATGGTTTGTGAAAATTAGGATCACCCTTTTTTTCCATATCTTTATTTCTCAATAGGTAAATTAAATCTTCAGAATGTTACACATGAAAGGCCTTGCATCCAAATATAAAATTTGAGAAAAATATGGTAGTACTGAAGGCATCTTCCTGTAAACAGCTACATTAAGACCTAAATTTGTAACTGATATGTATAATAGTATGTAAATTGTATACTCTGTATAGCTGGTATCACACACAAAAACTCTTTGTTCTAGATTTGCAGAGAATTTATAGAAAAATAATGAAACTTTCATTATAAGCGTCAACTCTGTATAAAGTGTGACCTTGGTACCACCAACAGCTGGACTGTTGCGTGGCTTGAAAAGATTTTGATGAAAGACTTCTGCAGGATAGAAGTCTGGGTTGATGGCTTGTAAGGTTTATGCTAATGCATAGTTGTCTTGAAGAAGCTTGCCTGTTTACTTTACTGCAGTGAACATGCTGTGAGGGTGTCCTTTCTTTGTATAAGAGGGCTACTGCAGCAAACAGCTTAACTGCAAAGATGATTCTTGCACTGTATGTTTGTCCATAATTTTCTTGTAGTTTTGGTATTGAGATGATGTATTGACACTAACATAATTAATACCTTAAAGGAGTCTTCTCACCTCATAACTCCCTTGTGTGTGTATACCAGTCTTTTTCTAGTAACCTAACACCTTTATCACTCTTGATTACATCTGTCCCAATTAAAGAACCTCTGTAAAGCATTTATAGTACAAACCTAAATCTAATCTTGTTTTCTTCAAACTGTGCTTTCTTGTAACCCTTCAGCTTCAAAATTGGCGTGAACATGTGCAGGAAAATAGTGAAACTTGGAAGGCAGTTTCCTTAAATAAGTCCAGCAAAAAGTTGATTAGCAAATATTCAAATTGCACTTGAAGCTGACTGATTCTACAGTGTTTTGCCTGACAAATAGATAGGTTAGCATTTTAGTATGTTATTTTATTATGTTTTGGTAATATATAATATTTTAATTATCAGATGAAGAAATTTTAGGAAGTTAATGTTTTATAGTTTTGTATAAGATTGTAGTAATGAAATTAATGGTTAACGGCTGTGCATGAAATATAAATTTGAATTCAATGTAAGTTACAGTGTATAATGAAAGTGTAGTCTGATAGTGACGTAACCTGCATCCTTTTATCTTTTACTTCTTGGTCAACATGCAACTTTTCCCGTACTTTTCTTATAGTATTAGATTTAGGAGAGTTTATCTGTAAGCCTAGATTTCCTTCACTAATCTGTCACTGAATTCTCCTGATCAGCAATTTTATGAGAAATAACCTGTTGATCAAAGTAAGGGCTAAATGGGTTAGGGAAAGCTGTTAATAATGTTTCTAATTTATCTAGCTTGCTAATGTATGCTCAAAAGCAAAGAAAACAGTTTTCATATTTTAAGACCAGAGAAATGGCTCAAAACAATGATTTGGTAAAAACATGAGAAAGGTTGGCAAGTCACAAGCCAAAGGCAAGTGATGAAACAACCTTTCTGACAGTTCTTGCAATATGCATAGTAGTTTGCTGAGAAAATGTACCATGGTTTTTTGCTTTTATTTCTTTTTGAATGAAATGCTTACAGTTTCCAAGTGGCTTTCCTATAGCTATGGACTGATTCAAAATAATGTGCCAAACTCAAATAAGGGGACCTGATGGACCACATTTACATGTGAGTCCAAGCCCATGTCAGAAGTGTACATGTGTGTCTAGAATCCCTTGAATGGTCCTCTTCAATCAGATTAAAGTTGAACTTCAATACATCCTTCTGTTAAAGCAAATGTTACTTTCTTTGGCTGTCCTGGGATTTTTTGTGTTTTTTTGGCCATTTCTCTTGTTTTCTTTGGTTGTTTAGGCAGTTAGATAACTTATTTATTTTGTACCAGGAAGAATTTTTGAAATATGTGTAGTGTAGACTTTCATATGTCGAGTGTCATATTGATATTTTAGACATAAACTAATTCAAGTCCTGCATACAGTACTGAATGAACAGCTTTAGTAAAACTAACAACTTCCTTAATCTTAGCACATATTTTTGGTGTCTGTAGCAAGTAGTGAAAGGAAAATGGCAAGGTTGCTAAGAAGTAACAGTTTAATTTTGCTTGTGTGAACAGCATAGCTAACAATGTAATAACCATCTTGTTAAAGTAATATTAAATAAATATTTAAGTTAAGTAATTTTAATTATGTAATTCTAAGATGCATGTGACTATAATAATTATTAATTAAAGAGTATCGTCAGTTGAAACTTGTGTATGCAACAAATCAGGTCCACTTGACAATTTCATTTGGAAATTAATGATAGAACAGGCAAGATTCATTGCTTAACCTGATTTGTACTTACATGTGTTTTCACCTGTCAGGGAATTCAGAATTCTTCTTCAAACCTCAACTTGTGGGCAATTAAAACTGAAGCTCTTACTTGCCTGGGTTTGAAGATGAAAGCTGCAATTATTGTTAGTTTAATTACTTAAGGTAAATTTATTGAGATATTAATTATAAAGGCTCGTCTGGAGATCTCCAAATTAACTGCTGCACCAAAGTTTTTTGTTTCACCACTGTTTCATTTGTGCCCAAAAAATGTGTCTTATCATTTCAACTCAGGATAGCCATGACTGCATAGCTTTTTAACAAATGAATTCGAAAACAAAATGTTGTAGTGTAATTAGTGATTTAATGGTAAATATTATGACCGTACTTTTGAATGTTACTAATTCGACAGCCAGTTTTTCTAAAATACATTTTGTGTCAATTTTGTATATTTAGCTTTTAATTAATACAGAACACGAACTTGGGTTTTTGGACATGGTGTAAATTGCTTAACTTGTTCAATTACAAGCTCAAAATCCATTTTCCCATTACTAATTTCAATATTTTCCTTTGTTGTTTTCACGAGAACTTGCTCTCTTATCTTAGCTATGTCGGTTACTCTTCAACGCAAACGGTATTAATGATCTTTTTTCTCATCACCCTTATCCTAAATATTTTACTAATGTTCTAAGGAGAAATCGTATGTCAATCTGTTGGGATTTATGGTTCAAAAGGCTATGCTCTCATGGTTATCACCTTCTCCAAACCAGCTGGACTGTGTTTGTTTGTCGTACTGTGAGGAATTACATTTATGTGCGTCCAAAGCTGTGTCATTATTATGTCATTGGTGGGTCCGTGTGTGACACTGCAAAATGTTATTTCTATATATTTAAGTAAATAACCGGAATTACAATATAATTAATGGCGTTTAAAATTGTCCAGGAGAATATTTGTCAAGAATTTACAGTATGCATGTTCTGGGAAGGTACATGTTAAATAAATGTCACGTTTTAATGTTATTATATTCGTCTTGAATGGATTGGTTCACTCGGGAAATAGTGAGTTAAAGGTGAAGTCTGCTCACGAGCCAAGTGGCCCATCAGACCAGCGCTTATCTCCTGTTTCTGTAGCATGAAGAGACTAAGAGTATTTCTACTTTTCTACCCCCCCTCCCCCCTGGATGGGATGCTAGTCCATCGCAGGGTTATCCCCAGCATTAAATTTGCCGGTACCCAGTTATACAGCTAGGTGAAGAGAGGCACTGTGAGAGTGAAGTGTTTTGCCCAAGAACAGAAAATAACGTCCCCGGCCAGGACTCGAACGCGGATTGCTCGATCCGGAGTCGACCGCCCCTTGGGAAATAGTGGGAATAACTGTACAACAGTTCGAAATGCAACGTATCAACAAATAGCGTTAGAGTTGTCGTGAAATTTAGTTGTTTTTCTTTTCTTTGTTTTTTTCCATTGCCTCGACCGAAAGGGAAATATGAAGGTTATCTTAAATGTGTTTAAAAGAAATACTGACATTTGAGAAAGGCCTACAAACGTTCCACTTTATGACCATAATTTGAGCTCAACGGGCATGGAGTTCAATTCCTAACCAGCGAATTAAATCATGGGGAATTTGAGGCAGCCTACTAGGCTTTCGAAATCAACTTATCCCATGTATATACATGTCTGTCTCCTCGATACACTTCACCCCTCAAAACTAGGAGAGTGGAATTTCCCGAAGGCTTGAACAGGGTATGTAAAATATAGAGAGACATGGGCTTACGTCTTGCAACGATGAAAGGTGAAGCCCCATTTGGAGGGGTTGTAATCATCCCACATCCCGTTAATTTCTGGCCCTAATAATATAAATGAAAAAATTAGTCGATTCTGATTGGCTGAGAGCAGTGCAGTTCAAGTGTAGCACCAGTGCAAAAAGTGTAACACCAGTGCAAATTACACATCGTAATTCTGGATAATGATTGGCTGAAAGACAATAGCAAATTTTCGAAGCCAATGATATTACGTAAAATGATGAGAATTTTGTGCGGAAACTTTGAGAAAAGGTTTCTCGAATGAGAAAAAATGGTTTCAAGAAAGGTCTTCCAGCACCTCCTCCACGCAAATTTTTTCATGTTTATACTATTAATTAATAAGTAATCATACGGTTTTTCTCGTTCAATTTGGAATTAATTTGCATTTGTGATTTTTTTCAAACAGCTGAAATTGCACCGGCCGAAGCGGCTCGTGCAATTTCAGCTTTTTGAAAAACTCACTCGTGGAAATTAATTCCAAATTTAACTCGAAACCTTATGATTACCCGTACAAATATCCCGTATCCCAGTTATTCCAATTGCAAATTTAACGATTTTCCTACACCATATCCCGTTTTATCCGATCTAGATATCCCATTATCCCACTAATCCCCCCCCCTCCCCGCCAAGTATCCCGAAGACCTCAAAATAGGACCTCAAAGTAAGGTACATTGGCAAAACAATCAGACATATTTCGTTTTCGTTTTGTTTTCTTTTTCACGGATCGTTGACCAAGAAGCCAAAAACACGAGAGAATGTAATGGTACGTTCTGTTTTCTTTCTAATTTACAAAGGCCATGACCCTTTTGGTCAGCTACAAGAGGGTGTCTCCGTATGGCCAAATCGGGTGTGTCAGATGGATTTTTCACGCTGCCAGTATATGCAGGCACTTCTTTCTTTCGAGGTCAGCTTGAGGGAATTTTCGTGTTGGCTGAGCGGCGAAGCCGTGGCAACTGCTCACGGCTTCGAACTACTTTTCGCTTATTGGCTGCCGAAACCGAAATAAACTGTCCCTGCAAGCAATGGGCTCGCGTGCGAACCGAAAACAAACGATAGGTCACGCGAAGGCGTGACGACGTATTTTTTAATGCCAGTCACGAGTTGGTTTGACCTATTGTAGCTAATGGATATCGGAACCTGAAACTTCAATTATTTTAGTTGATGTCAACTTCAAAGCGCTTTCTCTTTCACATGTGGAAAACGTACGATCTCCCTTTTGCTGCATTTTGAGAGATTTGACAGATTTGTTTCGGAAATGCCAGGCTACAACTTGGACGCCGTCCTTTCAGTACTTAACTTGGTTTGGATCTTCATCGGTTTCGAATCGACAGCTGTTCGGATCGGAATTTCGAAAATAACTGGGAAAGATAACTTGTCATGCTTGGTTTCTAATGCAGCAAGGCCCTGTGGATCGGTAACATTCGCTTTGTTTGCCACAGAGGACAGCAGAAACCGCAATGAAACAAACTTCACTTTTTCAATCGAGGATCAAGTTTACGACTTGGAGGAACGGGTCAAAATCATTCAAACAAGTCCTTACAAAAACATTATTCTAAACTCAAATCACTCAACTGGATCTATTATTAACTGCACGAATATCTCGGCTGGATTTGAGATAGGATCACGTCATGATCTCACCAATAAAACACGAAACATCAGCTTTGTAAACCTTGGATTCCAAAACTGTGGTCCTCGTTTCGCTGCTGCCGTGATCATATGGAACTCTGATGAAATAAACTTCATGAATTGCGTGTTTAAAGATAACAAGCAGGCTGGGATAAATGGCTTTGACAGCGGGGTTGCAATCGACAGCTGCCTTTTCATGAATAATACATCCAATAGGCAAAATTCTAGTGAAAAGTTTCAAGACGGTATTACAACTGCGGCTGGAGGCGCGGGTTTTTTGTTCCGTAAAGCTGTAAATCTTTCTATAATAATCAGAAGTTCTAACTTCACATTAAATTCTGCCGTGACGAATAAGTCGACACATTTCGTTGCACCTTCCTCAAATGTATCCCATTTCACTAGCACAGGCGGAGGCCTTCTTACCGTTTTTCTAGAAAAAACCGATCAATGTCGCGTTGTGATAGAAGACAGTATTTTTTCGAACAATTCAGCAACTTATGGAGGAGGGGTTTACTTCGCCAACACTAACATGGCGTCAAGAAACAACTACTCCATAAGGACCTCAAGATTTTTAAAGAACATAGCTGGACAAACCGGAGGGGGATTGATATTTTCCCAGTGGGACAATGCGTCAAGTATCACCACCATCTTCAAAAACTGCACAGTCAGCGAAAACCAGTCTAAGAGAGGCGCCGGGATGAATGTCTTCTTAATGAACTACGATGGAACAGCGAACGACTCTGTGTTGCACTTTGACACTGTTGTGTTCAGCAACAATCTTGGTAGTGCCAGCACGGCTATTCGCTTCACCACGGCTCTGCCGTACGGCAGAACGGTGGATGTGACCCCGGAGTTTATCAATTGCACCATAGCGGACCATGATATGTCAAGGTTCGCGCGCACCAGCCCTTTCACAAGTCAACGGGTTAATGTGAAGTTTAGAGGAAGAAATGTTTTTATGCGCAACAACGGAGGTGGTGCCGCCGGGTTTCAGGATTGCGTTATAAACGTTCAAGGACAGTTGGTTTTTACCAACAACTCAGGAACGAATGGAGGCGCAGTGCTTTTGGAATCAAGTCAGATTATTCTATACCCTGACAGCGAGCTGATGTTCTTAGGAAATAAAGCGAGGGGTCTGGGTGGAGCCATTTTTGTGAAGGAATACACGATGGACGAGTTTATACACGAGAAAAATCCCGACTGTTTTCTGGCATACCGCGATCCCCATGAGCCACCATCTAAATGGAAGGTAAGGATAATATAGGACTGGAACCAACCTTGGACGATGCTGGGACTGGAACTAGCTCGTTTACCTTTAACCCAAAAGGGATAGTTCAGGTCTCCCATACATCCTCGGAGACCCAGGGGAAGTTAGTGGGAGCGGGGAAAAGTCTAAACGGGCGAAAAAAAATTCGGGCGAAGAAAAGGCAAGAAGGAGAGAAAGAGTAAACCCTCGGCGAACGACCCAGACAAATATGGCGAGCAACTGGCCTGTATGTATCTCTCGTGTAAGGAAACACGAAACGATACCTAGTCTTGCTACTCTGTGATTGGGCAGAAAAAAAAACAAAGGTTTTCTGGCACCAATCAGAAGCCAGAACTACTCTGACCGTTTGGAACTTGTCTGTTAAAACCTTGTCCCCAGGGGCTCTTTCTCTCCTTCTTGACATTTCTTCGCCCGAATTTTTTCTCGCCTGTTTAGACTTTTCCCCGCCCCCACTAACTGCCCCTGGGTCTCCGAGGATGGTCTCCTATAATGCTTTGCGGTCGTTATTCCCCTTCATCCCATTCACCTAAGTAAAAGGTACAGGTTAAGTCTACATACGAGCCAAGTGGTCCATCAGGCTGGAGTTTGAGGGTAGAGAGGCACTGTGAGATTGAAGTGTCTTGCCCAAGAACACAACGAAGTGTCCCCGGCCAGGGCTCGAACCCGGACCGCTCGATCCGGAGACCCTCTAGTCATTCTTTGAGCTGATATTTTCTTTCTTTTCACTTCTTTAATTTTGGCTTTTGTCAGTCTACGCCAAATTTATATGAACGGAATGTAGTTTTTAATCGATATAGTTGCTTTATTGCCGTAAACCTTTTTATTTCTCAGACCAACATATCCTTCATCGAGAATAGCAGTAACCTTAAAGGAGCCGCAATTTTTGTGTCATCTCTTCAGAGGTGTGTGTGGACAGAGGAGTTTCCATATCACGATCCCAGTAAAGCTCTTCGCTGGTCCAGAAATTTTGTGTACAAGAACAACTCGATTATTTTTGATGGTGGTGGGGAAGCTCTGTCGGGATCAGAATACGATATTGCCACGGACACCAAACGTTTCCACTTGTCTACAGAAGATAATTCTACTGTAAAAGTATGCATGGCTTGTCGGGTTTTCTTCAGTTTTCTTTAATTTATAGAAGTTCAGTCGTTTAACTATAAGACATTATCTACTTCCTTTTCTCTTGTGTATTCATTCATTCAGACCTTTATTCAAACTGTTACTCGTTTATTTCGTAGTTTGTTCCTTATTACTTGTGTTCGCTCGTTACTTGCTTCGTTGGTTCGTTTATCTGTTGCTTCGTTCTTCTGTTCTTTCTTACTGCAAGTCTGACTGCCTGTCTCCTCATCTGTCTGTCTGTCTATCTGTGTGTCCGTTTGTCTGTGTCTGTCTATCCATCTATCTCTCTGTCTGTTTTTCTGTGTGTGTCTGTGTGTCTGTTTGTTCGTCTGTCTGTTTTGGTTTGGCTCGTTCGTTTGTTCGTTCGTTGTATGGTCCATGGTTCATACTTTTCTCTGCTCTATTAATTTCTGTGGTACCATTCTTTTGCTTACAAAACCCTGACATGCCAAGAAAATAAATTAACGAATGCTTCCTATTGTGCATCTCTATTGTCATTCCATTACAGCTCGCTCCTGGCCAAAACTTTCTTCTGAATCTGCATGCTGTTGATGAACTTGGACACAATGTTTACGCCATTGCTTTCGCATCAGAAGCCGACAACGTAGACGTCAACAGCACGTCGAAGCTCCTGCTACAAAACATACTGTATGCACTCTCGCCCAACAGTTCAAGTAGTGTTCCGTTCTCTTTCCAAGTTCCTGAGGCATTGTACAACAAGACACACCGCAGAAAAGACAAGGACAAGCGTAAGATTCAATTCGTTGATTTCTTCTCCACGCTGCAGAATGGATATTCCTTTGAATTGGAGCTGCAGCCGTGTCGTCCGGGATTCTTTTACTCTGCTGATTCAAAAACGTGCAAGTGTAATAAAGAACTGGCTGGTATTATGAGGTAGGGATCCGAATTGCGGCAGTTACTCATAGTTGAAATCTCGTGGACAAAAATAATGAACTTCGGTCAACGTCTCTATATCTGGACGTCCTTACGTTAAGTTAAAAGCAACCTTAGTTATCAACGCTCATTCCCTCTAACACAATCCTCGGCTGTAAATAAAGAAACAACTTTCGCAAACTGAATAGACCTTTCCAGCATTCCACTTCAGTGCGTACGAACAATAGCACCAGAGCGAGGTTGGGGTGGACATTTTCATACATTTACTGTTTTTCTGTCCATCCTGACCTCGACTTGGCGCTACTGTTTGTTGGAATACGGGAAAGGTCTATTGCATAAGGCCGGACATCAAGCGAAAACGTAGCCCAGTCCGGAATAATCGTTCTTTGTCCCGCACTTCAATTCGTACAAGGTTCCCAATAGACCTTTTTCGACTGGGCGGTTTGTTGCCCCATTTCAGACCATGTGATAATACTCTTGAGAATTCTTCCTTTCAAATTTTCAAATAGTCGTGTGCATATAACGAAATAATTTTAAGATGGATTAAAGAAAATCTCTTGAGAATATCACGTGGTCTGTAAATGGGAAAACAAACCGCCCAAGTGAAAAAGGTCTATTCAGAAAGTTCACAAACTGATTTTCAGTTCAAATCTTTCCAGAAGAAATCAAGCCTAATTAAAGTGATATCGTAAACGTCGACTATGACGGGAACATGTAAATTGACTCTCGGTCGTTTTGTATACGGGTATATGTGGCTTTCTGTTCGTACGCCATACCCTCGAATCGATTTTTTTCCCATCCGGTTCTCCCATTCAGTCAATACGCCAATGGTATCTCTACACGCACGTATATAACCCTCGCAATATCTCTGTCCTTGCCACAACAGATGTGAGAATGGCGGAACAATCTACCTGAAGGAGGGGTACTGGGCTGGCATCACTGACGACGGTACCTTAGTCACATACTTCTGTCCATATAAGTACTGCAATTGTACACGTGCACCCGGGGACTTCCCAGGGTGCTTATATGACCCAGACAACAGTGATAAACAGTGCTCTAAAAATCGCGCGGGATGGCTGTGTGGAAAATGCTCCAGGAATACTAGTGTTGGGTTAAGGTACAAGTAAATGTCAAGTTTGTTTGGTAGAAATAGGTCCTCTCATACAGTAAACTGGTGGACACCTTATATTAAGATAGCGAGTGAAGAGATTTCTTTATTGGACATGCAAAGTAGGCCATTCAGTACACTGTAGTTCCCGCCGAGACTTACCTCTCACCAAGACGGACACCTTAGGGCAAGCACTTAGCTTCTCCAGCAAGGTGACCTAAGCTATTCAAGGCGGGGAATTCTGTGAGGAGCTGGGAGACCTCACCTAAGTGGGGACCTCTAAATAGCGGACATTTAATAAAAAAGGGGCCTTGCTTTTCTCCCATTTCTCAATTTCTCAATGACAGAGATCTTTCAAGGGGAGGTGGGGGGACTTAAGCAGGGTGGAGATCTCAATGCAGGAACCTCTCCAGCATGAACGTGGGACACCAATACAGTGCAGACGGTGATCACTGGACAAGTGTGTGTATTGCCTTCAGCGCACATCAGAAAAACTCTTCTGTTGTTGTTTTAAATAGAGCGGTCTTCAACTGGGTGTCAAAAGTAATTCGCCTTTGCTCTCGTTTTACTTTACTTTGCTCTGTGATTGGTTGACAAAACTCGCGCCACTTTCTCAGCCAATGAGAAGCAAAACCAAAGCCAATTGCTGGTTTCACACGTGCATTTTCCCGCGCTTGGCGCCCGGTGCATATAATTACTTCAAATTCTGATTGATTCACTGGGCTGTCTGCTTCTCTTGTCATAGGTCAGAATGATTACTTTGGTTTTAGTTTTACAGTGAAACCTGTTTTAAGCGGGCCCCATATTAGGCGGACGCCCTCTATCAAGTGGACACCAGCTTGAGTCCCAAAATGTTCCTCTTACATTTACTGTAAAATAAACCTGCTTTCAGCGGACACCTCTGTTAAGCGGACACTTCAAGGGCTTTCTACTTCTAAAAGCTCAGCTTAGACTCCTTTAACATTGCTCAGCGATGTCGTTTTAAAGCTAAGTAGATTACTCCAGATTGATGCATTGACTGACTGAACATTGTGCTATGAACACTCTTTGATCGCACACTGTGTTACACTGAGTTACAAAAGGGTTAATAACTAACTATTATTGCATAATGTTTTAGAAACTGCTTAGAGGGGACACCCTGTGTTAAGCGGACACTAGTAAGGGTCCCAAGGGTGTCCGCTTAATACGGGTTCAGTTTCACTGTACGACGCTCAGTGAAAACCACTATCGCATAAATCAGCTTTGTAATTTAATGTTTTAGTTGTCGGCATCCTATAATTCATTTCTACTGTTCTGTATAGTAATAAAACTCACTTACGCAGGTTTTTCTTTAAACTTTTCTTTGCATTTTAGGTGGTCTGAGTGCGTTAGTTGCACCGGGTCTGGATGGGTGCTGGCTGTTGTCATTCCTGTTGTGGTTATCTTGTGCATTCTCATCATCTGGCTCAATCCTGGCATATCTAGCGAGTTAAGAGGGCCCCTGTTTTTCTTTCAAGTACTCCCCTTCATTTTCGATCCCGTCAGCCACTTAGGAGGACATGTTTTTCTTTTAGCAGATCTCTTCAACTTTGGAGGTCCGTTGATCTATCTCTCTAAGACATGTATCATAAAAGGAATAAATAACCTTTACACCATCGCCTTTGGATACGCTGTTCCAGTCCTCGCTCTTTCGATCTTCTTGTTGGCCTACGTGTTAAGCGCCAATTATTGCCTGAGATTTAACTTTCGTCGAAACTCGATGCTGCGGTCATTTTGGCTTCTCCTTGTATTTATTTACAACTACTTCGTGGAAACGTCGTTTGTGATCCTGTTTTGCCCAAAGGTTGGTGATAAACACGTGTTCTTCTATGACGGCACGATGGAGTGTTTCCATGGTAATCATCTACCAATGGCAGTAATCGCTATTCTCGTGCTTGTGTTACTGGTGATCCCTCCGCCAATCATGGTGTTTCTGTTAACCAATGGCTACTGGAGGGTTGATCCTCAATATTTAAACACACTGACAAGCGGCTTGCGCCCCGAGTGCCGTTGGTGGTGGTCAGTGGATTTATGTCGTAGAGTCCTCCTGGTCGCCATTTATGCATTCGTTCCAAACTGGCAAACTAAAAAGGTAAGGTAAAGAAAAGCACGAGTTTAACTGATGCCGAAAAAGGTGTCTTTGAAGGTAACCGTTAGCCTTCATTGAAAAGTAGAAGAGTATAGCGAAAATCTTGTCTCAGTACGGGTGAAACATTTTAACCAAACGGATATTATTTTGATGTAACACTAACTTCTCCAAAGCAATATCTTGAATGAAAATGAAAAAGCGTCAAAAACTGTCATTTTCATCAGCGTTTTCGGTCGTTTTAGTGCGGACTACAGGGAAAAACGTATCAAGAAGTATGCTTTTTCATACGAAAACGGGTTAGTGTGAACAGGTGAAAGCAAAACGAAAATGCTATTAAGTGTTTTTACCCTCGTTACATAAAGTTATTGTTCTTCTTCTTTATGCTAGTGTGGGCGAAAATGTTTTGCTTCGTTTTCTTTGAGACGAAAACTATTAAAAACGCATTAGTGTAGTCGGGGCCTCCCTAGGCTTTCATTCTCAGTTACGAGGTCTTTAAAATTCCAGTGTAGTGCACATGCATGCTTCAGCAAGATGACTTCTTCCTCTTCTTTTTTGATTCCTAGATACTGATGGTTTTCATGTGTGTCCTGATCTTGGCCGTGCATAGTAACTGTCAGCCTTACATTCGCGCACGAGTCAACGTCGCGGAATCCGTGTATCTGCTAGTCCTATGTACATTGTCAATCATGCAAATCACGGACAACGAACCAACCAAATACTATGTCTGCCTGGTTCTGTTGGTCATCTTGGCTTGTCACACCCTTGTGGTAACTGTTTATAAGGGCAGTCGCTTTTTCCAAAGGCGTTTTGACTGCGCATGCGTTCAGATTAATGCAGCGACAAGGCGTCAAGGGTATAACGAATTAGAGGGGACGGATATCGACCACAGCCTTTCAACTGAGACGGAAAGACAGAGGAAGATCCTGGACACAATCTTCGATTCATCTGAAGAAGGCTCGGAGCATGGTCAGTACTAGCGTCGCGGAAAATTTCAGCCATTTTAGCCGCTTTCTTGTTCCTGCTCCCCTCCGTTCTTCACCAGCGGTTTTTTCCCTCACCTAGAACTTACAACTTCGGAATTACAACAAGATTTTAAGCGTTATTAGAACTTCTTGTAAACTAATGCACAGGCACACCCGTCATTGTCCCTTTTCGGGGGCGGATCCAGGAATTCCAGAAAGGAGGGGATGCACACCTTCTAGTGGGGCTCCGGGGCCATGTCCTGCGTTTTACCCTCTAAAACACCATTTCCAGCATTCCTGACACTTGAAAAACGTTTTTGAAGGCATGATAGAAAATCTGGAGTTTCCCTTTTGTCAACCAGAAAACCAAAAATAATTATGTCGTGAAGTGTACATTATCTTTTTCTAACTTGACATCAGTCAATTTGTGGAAGTGAAACAACTTCGTATAAAACAATTGTACAATTGTATTCTATTATTTTTATGATGTGTCAAACAAATAACTGACAAAATACTGCTCAAAGGAGGGGGGGGTTTGCAACCCGTCAACCTCTCCCCTGGATCCGCCTGTGCCTTCTTCAAGTATTGTCCGAGTCCTCGGTTCTCGGCAGGCAGGGATTTTGCCTAGTAACGTATTTTGAATAATCTAGAGGTCTTAAGCCGAGGGAGCGGGGCGGGGGCGGTGGGAGGAAGGGAGGAGGACATCACTTGTAAAGAGACCGGGGATGCTCGCGTCGAGGTGTGAATACGAATTTTGGTATATATTTTAGGGTTACGCTCAAAGAAATCGTAAAATACTGTCATGTCACTTTTAAAGTGGTATCTTTATGGGTCAAGTAAAGCTCGAACAACGCTCAGATTGGTCTCCTTTAGGATTTTGATTCAAAATTTTCAGACAAGCATCCCCGACCTATTCACATGGGATTAACCACCCCCCCCCCCTCCCCCTGTGGGGATCATAACTATTTCCACGGAAACAAGAGAGGAGTGCAATGGAGTGTGATGGCTTTCTCAAGCTTTCTGCGTGTTTTTGTCTTTTTAGGTTCAGATTCAAGGTGAAGAGCAACACAGTGAAGCCCGAGTCTCGTAGACCTGCCTCGATTCACTCCTAGAAAAGAATAGTCCAAAATATTGAAAGCATAGGGAAGAAATTAGGTTAGCATAATTGATAGTTAAGTGCCAAGAAAAGGTTGATAAAAGACAAGTACGAAGTAACATAAAAATCACAACAGAAAGTCTCGAGGGTCGACTCCCGATCTTTTGAATTTTTGGATCAGGAAAAAAGCACTGAAGTATACGTTACTGAGTCAAAGGGCAAAGTATGCCTCACCAAAAATCACTGGAGCCCAGACTCTCCGCGAAGACGTCTTCTGTTTTCTCATTGCTAAGTTGATGAGCGAGGAAAAAAAACGCGATGATGATCGCGAGCGAGCGAGGTTTTATCTGCTTTTAGAAGAATTCGTCTAGTGTCCAGATGTAAATGCCGCAATTTGATTGGTTGAGCCACCGTATACTACCAGCCATTTAAGTGCAGTGGAGGTTGTCTAAAACTAGCGAAATTGTTTTGTTGTTATTTTTTTTCTAAACCTTCGGAGGAAGATTTAGAACAAATGGCAATTTAATCCCTGAGAAGACTAAAAGAAGGATATCCACTTCTCGACTTAAAAAACTCGAAATTATTGACGAAATGGTGACGCGCGAACGCAGATAATTGTAACTCTTTATCTGAAGGGATTTTAGTTAGAATTCTAGTAAAACAATAAGATTATTCGCTCTCGATTTTTATGAAATCGATCATCGATCTCAACAACTATCTTCTCATTTTTTTAAATTGATTTTTTTTTTACTGATTGTCATACACACTGGATACAACAACTATCTCCTCATACCAAATTTTTTAGAACATTAGTTTTAAGAATAAACCCGAGGTTGAGATTTTGAAAATAATATCTTTTTTGTGTTGAAAATTTGTTAATACAACACAATTACATGTTTTTTAAAGGCTGGTTTTCACTAGTGACGGAGTCGGAGTCGGAGTCGTAGTCAGAGACTTAAGAGTGCTTACGACCTAGTCAGTGAAAATCGAAAATCGGAGTCGTAAGCGGAGTCATAAGCTCGACGGAATCGAAGTCGGAAGAATCAGAACGTTTCCATTTCTTCCGATTCCGTTTACGACTCCGTCGCTTATGATCTAGTGAAAACAGATTATCGGAGTCGGAAGCAGAAAAGGAAGAACCAACCAATCACAAGGCCCGGAATCGAGCATTGTGATTGGTTTATTCTTCCGCTTTTGCTTCCGACTGCGACAATCTAGTTTTCACTCGATCGTAAGCGACGGAATCATAGGCGGAATGGGTGTTCTTCTTCCGACTCCGTCGGATTGATTTTCACCAGATCGTATCGCTTTACGCTTCTGATTACGACTACGGCTACGACTCAGTCGCTAGTGAAAACCAGCCTTAACTANGCAGAAACGGAAGAACCAACCAATCACAAGGCCCGGAATCGAGCATTGTGATTGGTTTATTCTTCCGCTTTTGCTTCCGACTGCGACAATCTAGTTTTCACTCGATCGTAAGCGACGGAATCATAGGCGGAATGGGTGTTCTTCTTCCGACTCCGTCGGATTGATTTTCACCAGATCGTATCGCTTTACGCTTCTGATTACGACTACGGCTACGACTCAGTCGCTAGTGAAAACCAGCCTTAACTAAACCGTGTAAAGTCCTTCCTTCTCTAAACGGCAAAACTAGCCAAAAGGCAACAAAAACATCATTAGCCGTATGTTCGATGCTCTGATGCCTGCAGGTTGGCTCCAAAGTTACTCTTATACCATCCAGACACTAAATTCTGTCGAAAACAGAAATGTCATACGCTGTGATATAAGAATATTTATAAGAATATTATCAGCCTATAATCGCCGGGCAGAAAAATAATTAAGAATATTCAGCCTCCGTCGGAAAAACAATGTCCTTACAAAAAGTGTAATCTCGAGCTCATAATCTTACTGGTCTGTTTGGAATTTGATCCTGGACAAGAAATCACAAGGATGACATAACCAAATTAAAACAAGTTATTAACATTTTAGTAGTTGAAATGTTTTTGCTACAAAAAGCAGAATACCGCTTTTTTCGCTGAAAAAGAGTTGCGTTATTCAACGTGTAATACCGCTGGTCATGCGATGTGCGTAGCGGCTCAATATTGGTTTTCAAGAGTCCAGCGCTTCTTGCGACCTCTTTGTGAAAGATAATAATTTTGTTAGAGAGTCATCTGCTCTTTAAGTCCCATAGAGATGAACAAATACAAGTCTTTTTCCTTCGTTTCTATCCTGTTTTAGCCTGTTTTCGTCCTGTTTTTAATTATTTTTGTCAAGAATGCACTGATTCGCCACGTAATTGAATCGCTGTGGAAGACCAGGCCGGGTTGTTCAAGGTCTGATTAAGCTAACCCAGGATTAGCGAGAATTTTGATTTCAGTTTTGTATTTTTTTCGTTAAGGTTTTCTTTTATATTTTTTGTCCTTCAGTTATGAGCTTGAATAATCACAAACTACACAGAACATAAGAAATGAAAACCATTTCTTATACAAGAAAAATTACTACTTTTGTTGTCTTTTACAGTCGCAATCCTGGGTTAGCGTTAACTGGCTTTCGAACAACTCAGCCCAGGCGAGTTAGTCACGAGATTTTTTAAAATAAAGTAATAGAGAGACGTCTCGCCGTAGAAGACCAGGCGAGTTAGTCACGAGATTTTCTCAGCCTCGGATAGCGTGAACGCAGTGTTTATTTGAATAAGGGAAGTCTCGTGGAGTTTTAGGCGAGTTAGTCACGGGGCTTACGTCGTTGACAAGTTTATTTATGCAGTATGTTGTATATCAAACAAAAAGCCACGTCGATTAGTTCAATATGTCCTTTATAGACGGGATATCAAGTTAATACTGTAGTGCCGGCTTCGAATAATCACATAATCAGTCATGTCGCTTTTAAGATCAGAGATGGATCGTGTTTTTTAAACTTATTTTACGGAAACACACCATCCCAAATTCAGTCGGCAAAACTACTTTTCAGTACTGTAGATCAATATAACCTTTCAGACAGGTAGGTTTGATAGACATTGTAGCCTACGAACAGGTTCTCGTGCGTTGCAGGAGCAAAGTCGATGAGCAAAGTCCCTGAAAGTCGCGAGAGATCTGTCAGCGAGCGAAGCAAGCCCGTGAGGGGCCCTCACGAGAAATTAGAGGCTCCCATTCTCACCGACTCGCTTCGCTTGCCGACTGTCGCTTCGTTCGCCGACGGCTTTGTCCGTACCACCAACGACGAGAGCCTGCTCGCAGGCTATAGACATCGGTAGTACCTAAACTTTTGCTGTAAAGATAGGTTTAAAGTATTTCATTCCCCTAACTGAGGTTTTCATTCCACCCACCCCTCCCAGCACGCTTTCATCCTCACCCTCCCCTGCACTCTCCTCTGTCATTGGCGTATTTTAAAAATATGACCCATATTGAGACAATAAGACGGCTCATCCTGGGAAGATAATGAGCATATGACTCAGTATAGCTCCCACGCAGCTGTCCCACTGGCTCGTCAAGCAATCTTTTCGCCCAATCGTTTCGTGATCGCGTGACGAGTAGGAGGCAAAACATGAGATGGGCTTCAGGTGAATCTCGTGAAAACCCGGCCACTTGATCACGAGATTCATTTTCAGAATGTATTTTAAAGTTTCAATGAACGTTTGTCACGAGTTGTGTAACTTTTCATACCATATCATTTGGTAGCATTTCTATGAAATCAAATCAGCTTTCAAAAGCTTTTATTTTACCGTTAACGCGGAACGTATAAGTCCCTGTTTGCGACATTAAGACGATTTTGAACAGCAATGCAAAGGTACAGCTTGAATACCGTCTGCTTCCTGTTACATTTGCTTTGGGTTTTCATCGGTTTCGAATCGACATGTACAGCTGTTGTGATCAGAGTTTCAAAAAACACCGGGTATGACAACTCGTCTTGCTTGGTTCGTAACGCAACAACGCCGTGTAAAACGATAACATTCGCTCTGGATGCAATCAAGGACAGCAATGACACAGACTTTATTTTTTCAATCGAGGATCAAGTTTATGACTTAGAGCAACGCGTCAATATCATTCAGACGAGTCCAGACAAAAATATTATTCTGAAATCATATCACCTAACTGGATCTACTATTCATTGCATGAACATCTCTGCAGGATTTGACGTAGGATCACGCCTTTATCCCGCCAATAAAACAAGAAACATCAACTTTGTAAACCTTGAATTCGAAAACTGTGGCCCTCGCTCCGATGCTGCAGTGGTCATATGGAACTCTGTGGAAATAAACTTCACGAACTGCGTGTTTAAAGATAACAAACAGGCTGGGATATGTGGCTTTGACAGCGGGGTTGTAATTGACAGCTGTCATTTCTTGAATAACACACCCAATCATCAGACTAATCCAACCCCCGGTGGAGGCGCGCGTTTCTTTTTTCGTGACGTCGTTTCTCTATCTTTAATAATCCGAAATTCCAAGTTTACATCAAATTCTGTCGCAACGAATAATTCAAGAGATTTCGGAGGGCCTGGTGCTGACCGATCCATGTGTAACTGTGCTTATGTATACGGCGGCGGTCTTCTGATCATGTTTCTACACAATGCCAGTGGCTGCCGAGTAGTGATACAAGACACCATTTTTTCAAACAATTCGGCAACATTTGGAGGAGGTGTTTATTTTTCTGACTCAAACATGACGTCACGAAACAATGTCTCCATAACCAACTCAACATTTTCAAGGAACATGGCTGTGCAAGCGGGAGGAGGATTAATGTTCGCCCGCTGGGACAGTGCGTCAAGTATCACCACCTTCTTCAAAAACTGCACAGTCAGCGAAAACCAGTCTAAGAGAGGCGCCGGGATGAATGTCTTCTTAATGAACAACAATGAAAAATCAACCGACTCTGTGTTACGCTTTGACACTGTTGTGATTAGTAACAACTTTGGTAATGCAAGTACGGCTATTCGCTTCACGACGGCTCTACCATACGCCAGACGGATAGATGTGACCCCGGAGTTTATCAATTGCACCATAGCAGACCATAAGATGTCAAGTTTCGCGCGCACCAGCCCTTTCACCTGTCAACGGGTTAATGTGATGTTTAGAGGAAGAAATGTTTTTATGCGCAACAACGGAGGTGGTGCCGCCGGGTTTCAGGATTGTGTTATAAACGTTCAAGAACAGTTGGTTTTTACCAACAACACTGGTTCGAGTGGAGGCGCAGTGCGTTTGGAATCAAGTCAGATTATTCTTTACCCTGACAGTGAGCTGATGTTCTTTGGAAATAAAGCGAGGGGTCTGGGTGGAGCCATTTGTGTGTTTGAGCACACGATGAACGAGCTAATACAAAGGTACAATCCCAACTGTTTTTTGGCATACAGCGAAGCAAACTTGCCACCATCCAAATGGAAGGTAAGAGTTACTGGTGGACTGTATTAGTCCCTTCCATAGCTAAGTCATCAAAGTCGTTTTATCGTCGTATTTGACGTGGGAACCTGCCACACTTCTTCATGTAGTGGACAAATGTTGAAATTATTTGGCGTAATGTTACAAAGAAAAAATGGATAATATTTTTGCAACAATAAGTCGCAGTGCCACGCAAAACAATGTCGGTATAAACAGACTTTGCAGTTCGGTCTTTCCTCTCAATATTGCGCCAGTTTTTTTCCTTTGTTCTGCCTTTGGTGAGTTCAGTTTCCCATAGAGCACTGCCTTAGCCTCGCTAACGTGCAGTGTCCAGTTGCCTCCTTAGGTATTTGTTCTGCCATTCCATGTTAGCGCTAGTATTCTAGCAATACCATTCATGCAACGGTTTCTCTTGGGATACCATGCACGACGACGGCGGCGGCGGCGGCCATACTCCAACTAATACCCCTAAAAGGTCGATCGAAGCATACAATCTTGGTTTACAGCGTACATCTTAGATATCGGACATCTATGTTATGGTTGATTGGCATTTGACAAAACAAGGTATCCGCTGACCAGCATCACGTGACTATATACACCTTATTCCAAAATGGCGACCAATTTATTATTCTTTTGTCTGCATGTTAATCAGCCCTCTTTGCCTTACTTTCACTTTAAAATTCTTTTGTATTTTGTACATGTTGACGAGGCAAAGAGGGCTAATTACCATGTAAACAAAAGAATAATAAACTGGCTGCCATTTGGGAATAAGGTGTATGGTGGGCTCAAGTTTAGAGCACATAGAAGACACTTGTTTTTTAAGTTGACCGCTGCCCAGGTACTGGTGTTTCGATTGGATCGCAGGCTCGAGCCAGACTATTTTATTGTAATCAGGAGCTCCGCTTTTAGGCATGGCAACATCTATGTATTAACTCCCTGACTGGCTCTATTTTCCATGGCATGGGAAAAATTTTAGAATTCGCTCAATCGTACTCGCCGTAAAATTGTCATAGCGACAATTTGTAATACAGTTACTATTGATCCAGACGTCTGTTGAAATGGCTTATTTTCAGGCCGTTGCAAGGACCTTTAGTTGCATTTACGGATTCAAAAAAGTGATCACACGATGACGAATTTCATGATCGTGTGTTGAGTGAATCTCCTGCCGTCGGGGAAGATGCTTCACAGTTTGTCTGCAAGTTTGTTGAGTTTCGCACTTTCTAGCAAGATCAATTTAAGTTATATTGCAGAGAAGAGTTCGACACGAAAGGTGCAAAATCCATCGCATGGAAACTTGCTACTTTTGAAAAATTTGCAACAGCTGTGCTGCAAACTGTGGCCAAAAGATGTTTGTCATCACGTGATCACTTTTTTTGAAACCACGGTTAAAACCAACGGTGCCTGAAAAAAGCCATTTCAGCAGACGTCTGGGATCAACAGCACAACCCTAAAACATTCCTTCCATTTATACATGCACGATTCCAGTATTTTACAACCGTAAATATTTTTATTTTTCAGACCAACATATCCTTCATCGAGAATATCAGTATGCTGAGAGGAGCCGCAATTTATGTGTCATCTCTTCAGAGTTGTGTGTGGACAGAGGAGTTTCCTTATTATAACTACAGTGAAGCTCTTCGCTGGTCCAGTAATTTTGTGTACAGGAACAACTTTTTGTCTATGGAAGCTAACAATGGATCAGAGTACGATATTGCCACGGACACCAAAGATTTTCACTTATACTCTACAAGAGATAATTCTACTGTAAAGGTATGGCCTTGGAAGCTTCCGTCAGTTCTCTTTATTAGTTTGGTCGTCTAACATTCTAATATCCACTTTCTTTTCTTTCGTTTTTACATTCACAGATGCGTTCTGATCTCTTCTTCGTTCGTTCAAACCTCGTTTATATGGCCTTTCCCTTCACCAAAGTAGGGGAGAAGGCCATGGGAACGAGGCTGCGTTCTCCTCTCTCTCGTTTCGTCATTCACTTTTTCTCATCTTTTTCGTTTGTTGATAAGGATCCATTCGTTCGTTACCTGCTTTGTTTCCTTGCTTTCTCTGTTCGTTGGTTCATTCGTTCGCTCGTCCTTCTGTTCTTTCACTCTACCAGTCTATCTATCTATCTATCTGCCGGCCTCTCTGTCTGTTTGTCTGTCTGTCTGCCTGTTTGTCTGTCTGTCTCACTGTCTGTCCGCCTGCTGTCTGTGTTAGTTCGTTCTTTCGTTCATTTGTTTCATCCTTATTATAATCACAGCAGGAGCCTCCGGAATCACAGTAAAGCTCTTCGCTCCCAGGAATTTTGTACAGAAGAACAACTCGCTTATTTTTTATGGTGTTACGGAAGCGGCTTTGTGTTGATCTGAATACGACATTGCCATTCACACCCGTCTACAAATAGAAGTGATCATAGTATGACGGCATGGCCCTTCAAGTTTTTTTCAGTTTTCTTGTTAAGTTATATCTCTAAGTTCTTCGTTGTGACTACAACCCTAGCATATATGCTAACAAAATCACCTAAACATGGCTTCTTTTGTGGTCTCTATTATAACTCTGTTACAGCTCGCTCCTGGCCAAACCTTTCCTCTGAATCTGCTCGCTGTTGATGAACTAGGACACCTCACTACCACCCTTGCTTTCCTATCAGAAGCTGACAACGTAAAAAGAACCTCGAAGCTCCAGCTACTACACATGAATTATTTGCTTAAGCATAACAGTTCAAATAATGTTCAGTTTTCTTTCTACGCTCCTGAGAAATTATACAACGAGATACACCACAGAAAAGACAAGGAAAAACGCAAGATTCAGATTAGCGATATCTTATCTACGTTGGAGAACCAGTTTTTCTTTGAACTAGAGCTACAGGAGTGTCGTCCAGGTTTTCATTACTCCCCGGAAGGCAAAGTTTGCGAATGCAATAAACAGCCTGGCATTTTGAGGTAGGGATCTCGGGAGGGGGAATTCCCAGATAAAGAGTACGGGAATCGTCGTGCCATTTAGACTTAAACAAGAGGGTTTGGTGCCTCTAAGAGTGTTCAACCTCAAGTCCCACGGCAGAAGCTTTCGCGGTGCCTTTAAGGGTTTCTTTTTCAAATTTGCGACGAGCACCCCTGTGCTTTCTGTGTGGGATTCCTCCCCCGGGGTAGGGATCTTAACTTAGTGATTACCGAAACTCAGAGCAAGTCAAACTGAGTTGCGTCTTGCCATGGGCCAATTAAATTTCCGTGCAATATCCTCTCCCACCTTTCCAATCCACGTCCAGTCTCCTAGAAATCCATGCAAGGCCGGCATATTTACTCATAGCATAAAGTAATGTGCTAGAAATAGATTAGTAATGATAATAATAATAATAATAATAATAATAATAATAATAATAATAATAATACACATGAAAAAATTACTCGATTCTGATTGGCTAAGAGCAGTACAGTTCAAGTGTAACACCAGCGCAAAAAGTGTAACATCAGTGCAAAAAGTGTAGCACCAGTGCAAATTACACATCGAAATTCTGGATTATGATTGACTGAAAGAAAATAAGAACTTTTCCAGGAAAATGATATCACGTAAAATGATGACGAAAATTTTGTGCTGAAACTTTGAAAA